TTGATCGGAGGGAATTTCCCCTCCGGCTTTTTACTATTTTTCCGGGGGAAGTCGAGGTCTTGCCGAGGGTCCTTTGCTGACCTCTCGGATTCTTTTTTCTCGCGGTGATCCGCGATGTATTTTTTCAAGTATCCCTTCCGGACCATGTCCTCTATCTGGTCCTTCAGTTGGATACACTCCTCAGTGTTGTGTCCCGAAGACTCGTGGAACTCGCACCACTGATTTTTATTTTTTCGCTGATACCACTCTGGGAGTGGTCTCGGCTTTCGGTAACTCTGCTCCTCCTTCGTCACGCTGTAAATTTTGGCGCGTGGAAGAGAGAGCGGAGTGTAGGACTCGTATCTGCCTGTGTATGAGGCAGATCTTTCCTTCTTTGGGTCGCTGGCCAAAGATTGCTCCGGGGCCTTTGATTTTCCCTTTGCCTTATGGCCTTGGCCTTCAGACAAGGATATTTGTCTTTGTTTCCCTCCCCCGAATTGAGGTTGGGTTTTCGCTTTGTTCCATTCTTCGGCTCGGATGAACTTATCCGAAGCATTAAGAGCTTCCTCCAAGGTCTGCGGGGTATGCATGACCATGAAGTCTAGGAACTTTCCGGGCTGAAGGCCATTCTGTATTGCGAAAACGGCTAGCCCCTGGTCCAGCTGGGAGACGCTTGATGACTCGTTACTGAAACGGGTCAGGTAGTCTCGGAGGCTTTCGGTTTCCCCCTGTTGTAGACTCATGAGCTCTGCAGTAGTCTTCTCTCGGCGGTTTGCCGTGGAAAACTTGCTCCTGAACTTGGAGGACAGATCATCCCACCCTGTTATGGAGCCTTGCCTTACTCCCTTGGAGATCCATGCTTGCGCGACCCCCTTGAGAGTGGTTGGGAAGTATTTGCACCAAGTCGCCTCGGATCTGGGGCAAAGATGCATATGAGTCTCATACGAGGCCACGTGATCCTTCGGATCCGTGGTCCCGTCATATGTGATGTGCGACGGTATTTTAACCGTGGGTACGCGCTCTTCCAGTATCCATTGCTCGAATGGTGAACTGGCGGGTAGCATAACGGCCTTGCCCTTGTTCCTGGCCGAAGGGACCGCGCTCCGCCCTCTTAGAGAGGTAGGAGTGGTTTTCGTCCCTGGCTGGGAAGTCTGGGCCTCGGCTGCAGGGAACGAGAGGCGACTGCGCACGCTCGGTTCCTTGCCGCCGAGTCGGTCAAGGATGCTTCTGCGAACAGTCTCAGGTTCTCGGTGAGTAGATTCTGGCCGAGAAGCTGAGCTGCTGCTCTTATGCGCTTCTGGTCTTGAGGATGAGGATCCTTTTAAAAATTGAGGGTTCTTTTTCCTCTGTTTTTCATTTTTCCAGGAATCCTCTTCCCACTCTTCCAGTTCCCGGAAGGAAGGAAGCTTCCCACCATCATGGTCTAACTTCCTCCGCTGATGCCGGGTATGCGGAGGAGTTCGATCACGAGGTGGTGGCATATTTTGTGCCCTCATCGCCTCCATGAGTACTGCCAGCGCTCTTGCCACCTCTTCCGAGCTGGGCCCCGTCAAAGGGGTCCTCGGCCGAGTGTGGGAATGAGGGCGCGCAGCCGATGGTTGGCTTTGGGGCACTGAATGTGTCCTATGATCGGACTCACCCCTGCTAGACCGAGAGTAACTCAGCCTATAATGAGAGTCATGAATTACGGGAGAAAGGGAATCCTCCTTGTATGATCCTCCCCCCGAGCCGGCACCCTTGGGAGAGTTCTGGTCCGGCGAGGGTGATGGTGTAGGGGTTTTAGGCTTTTCGCCCGCTCCTTGACGGAGGCTTTTGCTCTTGCGGTTCTTAGCCATTACTGCTAAGATAATTGCAAGATGATCTTGGTTAGAAATTTGGCTAAAGATTTTTGAAAGTCTTCCCCACAGACGGCGCCAAATTGTTTCGGGTGAAAACAATGGGACCTTGCCAAAGGTCCGCTGAAACGGAGAAGGCTGGATTCGGTCCAAGTTATGTTGGGCCGAAGGTTTCCTGCACAGTAAACACACGTAAACTAGCCTCGGGGGTGTTGCCGAGGAAGGCCCCTCCGATGCTAAAGTCAGTACAATGTGTAGGAAGAGGACACTATGCAAGAGAGTTTGTTGCTTGAGGCTTTGATGGAATATATGAGAATATATGAATGAACATAATAAATGTATCAATATTGATGGCTTTTATAGCTCTTCATACATGGAGAGGTTGGGCCTTAGCCCAATTGGCTTGCTTTGTGGGCTGACCTTTGACTTTAGCACAATTGGAGAGTTGAACCTTGACCTTGGGCTTTTAATTGGATCATTTAATGCCTAGGCCCAATTGGACTAAATTGGACCCAAACAGAAAGTATTTTTGGAGAATCCATTGAAATATCTCATTATTGTGGTCGAAGGATGTGTTATTCAATTATTGTCATTCAATTACAATTCTAATTTGTCTGGGATTGTCAAATTCCTACTCACTTCAGTTAAAAAAGTCAAATAATTGTCACATTGTAACAACATTTTGGTAATGGTGACTTGTTTTGTTTTCCTTAAAAGTTGATTATTCTGCTAACTAAGAAGTCATTTATCAAACTTTTTTAGCGGCATTTGATCAGGTTTAAAATTTTAAGCCAATAAAAATTAAAATTCAGCAAAAGCTATTAACAAAACACTCCTTTGTATATTACTCCCTAAGTCCTTTTTTATTTGCTCCATGGCCCACTTGTTTGTGAGAGTTTTATGAGTCTTGTGAGGCAAAAATTAAAGGACAGAGGGAGTACTTCATTTAGGTCATGATTTGATTGTTTGAGAGATTACTAGTGGATCCTACAACCTTGTCAACCTACCAACCTAATTTGCATAATTATCAGAGCAATATTTGCTCCACAGGTTACGATCGAGATAATGCCGATTTATCAATTTGTAACTTATTGACTGAAATTCAATTAAAAAATAATTAGATAATATGAATTTAGGATGGAATATACTAAGAGTATATTCTTTATAAACACACTACCATTCAAATGCCAAAACTACAAAATTTTAACAAAAATGAATTGACACCTTAATACCAATGTGGCATTTAGAATCTGAACTTTAACATTAATAACCTGAAACAATTAATAACAACAGAGAACCCTAACACAATATAAATTTCTTGTAAATAAAACCCCTGAAATTATCTTCCAAAATTGAAGGCAAAGGTTAAAGATAGGTCCCACAATGAGGTAAAGGAACCATCCTAGAAGCATCAAAGAAATTGCAAACTTCTGTCCTTAATAATCTCTCTCCTCAAAACGACAAACTTTGGCTCATTTGCATTTGCATATATTGGGTGTTGCATAATCTTTAATTTAGCCTATGTTTTTTTTTTCTATTTCCAACACTTAGCTTCCTACATGATATGCATGATTCAGAAGTTGTAGAAGTGCAGAATAATATGTATAGGGTGATAGATGGGGTGTATGAATTAGTTACGACACTTTGGAGGCTCCAAGAAATGAGGTTTTCTATAATGGTTCAGCAAACTACTTCCTTTGCTATTCATCTCATTTTTTCTGCTACTTGTTGTGTAATGCTTCTTAGGAGACGAATGAGATGATTATATTTTTATTTTTTTTGTATATGTATTATTGTTTTTATTTATCATGCAACAACACTTAGCTTCCTACTAAATTCATGTTGTGTTCTTGTGGTTTTGTATATTCATGTCCAATTCAAATGTAGCTTAGGGTATAAACCAAGCTAATAACTCTAATTGCAATTTGGGCCTACAACTCATCAATAGGCAATGGGCTTATCATTTTATTTGGATTAATAGTTGTGAATTTAAAAGAAAAGGTTGAAAGAGGTTGCTTTAAATTGTGTAGGTACATAATTGAGAAATTTGATTCACACATGTGAGAGCAGGAGGAGGAAGTCAGGTGATGACTTAATAGTTAAGATCCTTATTTCGTGCTACTCCTCATTTTCTTGCAAAGCCGAAAGTTTATATTTTTGTCTTCTAAGTTTTTTGAAGAGTGTTATAAACTCCATTTCATGGTGCGTCTACCACACTATAATTTTTCTCACAATATACTTCTTATTTGTTTTAATACTTTTAGGATATTTTGTAGATTAAGAATTTTGAATGTTCAATCGGCATATCGATGTAAAGTAAAATATCATTGCATATACAATGATCATTTTGTAAACAATGGAATGCTGAGATTACGAGAAATCAAACATTTTCCTTACAAATTACAAATTGTATCATGATTCATCCCCAAAGAAAATCAAGACACATTTAGATAATCATCTAGTTATTACCAATAAAATCCTCTGTATTGTTTCAACCTTTATACGGAGTACTTAGTTAGTTTATTAATTGTATATAATAGAGATTTGAATATATATTGCTATCTCAATTTAATATGGAGTACTATATAAAAATAGCAAAAGGTTTCCATAAATTTGTAATTTATAGAATTCATTTTCAAGTATAAACCCGATAAAAAGACAAAGGAAAAAGATTGTAAGTCTAAATTTATCAAGATTATGTATTGCAAAAGCATTTAAACCGCGCATAAATATGTGTACACTATACACACAGGCATGCGGTTTTGCACAAACGACGTACAAGTACGTGAACACTAACACATCATTTGATCATTCTAAGATCTCCAACATTCACACCCAAAATTAAGGTAAATAAGGTAACACAAATTAGTTACTATCACTTTGCTTCACATTATCCTAACATTTTCATACAACCTTTGACCAAGTCTTTATAACATTGTGAGCTATTTTTTTATTTTTAAGTAAAGAGTAGTAATAGTAACTAGCAGTAAGTAGAATGATGATGAGGAAATGTGAACACCAAATGAGATTGTTGATTTATCCATGAATAGCAACAAACAAGATAAAGATATGACAACAACAATTAGCTAAAAAAAAGTCAAGAATCAAAAGAATAAAGATGATATAAAGAACAAGAAGAAAACAATCACTTCATATTTGATTAATTTCACACCACCTTCATAAAATCCAACCCAGAAAAAAAAAAAGGGAAAACAATAATAAAAAAAAAAGCAGACAACAGTGAGTCACCTATGCACAAAACCCAAGAGAAAAGAATAAGAAAGAATCCAGAAAAAGTAAAAATTCAAACAAGTGGGTCTGTCTTTTTCTTTTTATCACTCCACTGTCACACTACCGGAAAAACCCCATTTTCTAGAGAGAGAAAACTCAAGTTGGTTAGAGGAGAGAGAAAATCCACCACCACTCTAATATGACGTCGACGACCATCGCCGGCAACCGGCGGCGAGAACAACCGTCGTCTCACCAGTACTACTACTCCAATACGCCGTCGTATTTCTCACCTTCATCATCGTCATCACCTTCACTGATCAAAGGTTGCTGTTGTTGTCTCTTTCTACTTTTCTCTCTCCTCGCACTCATCACACTCGCCGTAATCCTCGTCATTGTACTCGCCGTTAAACCGAAAAAGCCTCAGTACGACCTCCAGCAAGTCGCCGTACAATATGTCGGAATCTCGCCGACATCCGGCACGGCTCCCGGCGGCGTGTCGCTGTCATTGTCGGTGAGATTCATATTTACGGCGGTTAATCCGAACAAAGTAGGGATAAAGTACGGTGAATCGAGGTTTAATGTGATGTATAGGGGGATTCCGTTGGGGAGAGGGACGGTGCCGGGGTTTTATCAGCCGGCGCATAGTGTGAGAACAGTGGAGACAATCGTGTCCGTTGATCGGGTGAATTTGATGCAAGCTGATGCGTCGGATTTGGTGAAGGATGCGTCGATGTATGATAAGGTTGAACTTAGGGTTTTGGGAGATGTTAGCGCCAAAATAAGGATAATTAGCTTTGATTCTCCTGGTGTTCAGGTTTCTGTTGACTGTGAGATTGTTATTAGTCCTAAAAAACAGTCTTTGACTTATAAACAATGTGGATTTGATGGATTGCGTGTTTGATTTTCGATTTCGATTCGATTTCTGAGGATGACGATGATGATGATGATGGAGGAAGAGGATGAAGGTCTGATAAATGACTCTTTTTTTTTTTTTTTTTTTAATTTTTGGGATTAAATAATTGAGTATCTACGATTTATTATATAGTTTATTTAATTTGTTTTTATGAGGGTAGTAAGTAAGTAGTTGTAGTTATTATAAATACTTGCTATATATGTGGAGAAAAGTAGTGGTGAATGGTGATGTCAATCTGCAAATTTTGCTGACTTTTTTTAGTTGTTAGTTGCTAAATTGTAAATGGGTTACCCTTAATTTGGGTTACCCTTGAGTTCTCATGATCAACTGTAAGATGATTACGGAAGAAAACAAGAATTTTCAGCTTAATTGGGCGTTTGTTGCAAATTCAATGATTATTTTCAGTATAGTTTTAGCATTCTAATTTCTATTTTCTACATTTACGGTATCGTGTTCTACGAGTTTGTGTCAAGGCTTGTTGGAGCCTTGGGGGGTTATGAAACATTATATGGATATGATATCTTCATATCTAGGTTCGAATTTGCATGTTTCTGTTGTTGAATGTGGCATTTAAGCATCATGCCATTGTTCAGTCATCTGATATCTGGCATAAGCAGGAAAAGTGTGTGTAATACTGGCTAGAGGAGATTTCTATTTCTAGATTTATATCTAGCTTGTCCTGCTATTGATTGTATTAGTTAATTCATGACAATGTAGACATTTTGATAGATGTATACTAATAATTGTTGGGGTGATCAATCAAGCTTGTCATTTTCCTTTCATGGAGAGTGGTTGCAGAAGTATATGGCAGCAATTTTATAGGCATATATTGTAGAGGTTGAGAAGGAAAAGGCCGTTTTATCATGCAAATATAAGGGCTCAGCAAATGTGGAGAATAGGAAAGGACTATTAGCGAATAATCAGATTGGATTTTGGAAGTGGTGCTAATTTGCGGGGGCAGAAGCAGATTTCTCTATACCTGACCATGCTAGAGCAGCTAGACATAATGGAGCTATTGTTTCTATTGTTCAGTTTTCTGTGATTCTCATGGAGTCTTTCATAACAAATGCCGCATTCAATCTGGGTTTAGAAAAATAAAAAAGTTCTTTCATGGAGTTATATGTGATCCTAATTCGATTTTGTTCCACATTGGGCTTGGAAGAGAAAAACACGGGCAATATTTAGTAGCTGCGCAAAAATTTTCTACTTGTGAGGAAGATAGCCAGCATTTGATATTTTCAAATATGGTAAGTTAAAGTGTAAAAGCATTTATATATATATTGTTTCTATTTGCAGTACTAGTCATATAACTGTATTTCAAAATAACATGGCTTGTGGTTTTCTGTCAAATTAATCAATTGATATACTGAACACAGAGTTAAAATTCTAATCCTTAAATGCCTATATGTTTATGTATAACCTTGAACTTCTAGGATATTAAGAATTTAGTCCATTATTCTCTTGAATTGTTTTGTCTTGAAGGATTTGGTTATCAGCAATTCTCTTTGATTATTTTTCCAGGATATCTGAAAATACATCAGAAAGGAATGGCAGAGCTGCATTTCCAGCTTATTTTTTCATCTCTTTTTCATGTAAGTTCCTACTTGTCCCTCTTTATTTTATTTGCGGATTTTTTAATTTGTTGTTTGCACAACTCAATGGTTTAAATCTACTATAAATATTGATTTCACCCTGACCTCTTGTGTGTGGGGTTGTTGGACATTTATAAATGTATAACACTATGCAATTGATCTCCTGTTTAAGCCAAGACGTGCATGCTTTCTTGACAAAGAAAACTTGAACAGCAAATTTAGGAAATATGTTACTGTGATCAGCATATCGCCATCTCTACATTTAATAGACATTCTCTTGGGTCTGAAATGTTAAGTTGCATGGACTATTGCTTGTATAGTTTGGAGTTAATATTTTTGAAAATAAATCCTGAAGCTTCTTGTTAATCATGATTATATACCCATTAAGATTATTCTACATGAAGGGCTAATATTACCTAAAAAAGAATTTCAAAAAAAGGGAAGGACTAACATACTAGATAAATTGAGCTTCTGTTGATTAGGTTTCTTAGTTAATTTGACGAGAGAGATGATCCTGCTTTTTAACTCTTGCTGGCCTTTAGAAAATTGCCATCTTTCATCTGTCAGGTCCAAAATGTTGTGTCAAATCATGCTTTTTTACTCTTATTGGCTTTTGGAAGTGCTTAAACTGTTTGTCATCTCCGTTAGAAATCTAGAATATGTAATTTTTTCCCTGAAAATGTGTTTGATAATCCATGATCATGCGGCTGTAAGACAGACAATGCATCCATCATCATGCTGCTGTGAGACATTGCGTAAACATGTATGTTATGTGGGAAAGCAATAAATTAGGATTCTTTTAAGATAATCCATATTATCTAGTTACTGAACTTAAGACGCTATAGGTTTTGTGCAGTTTGTTGATTTGTTGTTTAATTACTCAACACAGACATATTACTAGAATGGTGTATATCGAAAAAATACCTGTGTTCTAATTGCTAAATGTATCTTAGCATGAAGTTTTTTCCTTTATGGTAAGTTAGTTAATCTATCTGATTAATCATCATTACTTTCTACACCCCTAATATTATATACTTCGTAGCTAATAAAGTGGGCTTTATTTTTTGTCATTAGTGGTAAAAGTATTATTGTTGAGCTATTCCTTTTTTCTAACTTCTGTAGTTGTGTTATTTCTCTCTATAGTGGTAAAAGTTAGAATTTTCGCTAGTCTAGAAAATTTGAAACTTATGCTTCTTAGTTCTTGCTTGCTTGTTTGGCAGGATAAACAAAATCCTGGGACAGAGAATAGATTTCTGCTGAATTCGCATCTGTGCTGAATATTGTTCCCCTTTCACATGCTTAAGGTGGCATCCCAAGCTTCCTCTCTAGTGACCTATTTGAAAAGTTTATTGATCTCTTGTCTCCTCTATTTCTAGACTTTCATTAGTGCTCTGATAGCATCTGCTGGATGACATTTGGGCAGTGATAGACCACTACCAGGTATGGACTCATTGGGTCCATACCCGGGGCAAATATGTAATTTTGCGCAATATTTTCATGGTAACTCATTAGATTTTACTATGCTGTAAAAAAATATTCTCTCTCTTATAATTCTACAATAACAGTATTCAACTCTATGATAACAGTATAAAAATCAACCATAACAGTACACAAATCAATAACAACAGTATACAAGTCAATGATAGCTGAGCACCGACAAAGACTTTAAATTCACCACAAATAATTTATTGGATAATAGTATGCAATGTACTAATAACAGTATACAAATAAAGAATAACAATATACAAGTTAATAATAATTGAGCACTGTCATACAATTAACGTTGTCAATTTCAACCCCCTCATATCCAAAATCTTTTAAACTCTAAAAATTCCCAGCTTAGAACTCACCGTTTTTCATGGCTAAAGTCGCAAGTCTGCACTCCGGCAAAGAACTCGTCTATGTTGGAAGACCTTGAACATCCTTTGCCGTCCTTCGACTACCATATTTCATCAATCATACTTCGAATTACTTCTTTAATTTGAATTAGCCACAAAATTCGCACCTCCGGTAGATCGAGCACCTTGATGATGAAGAGTACTGCAACTCTAATGGGGTTTTTGTGGGATTGATTTTCCGACCATCGAAGCTTTTTTTCGTGAATGGGTAGTGTTTTTAGTTCGTTGTTCTTGTGTATTTTTAACCCTTGTATGTTAATCCTTTTTCCTTTTCCATTTTGTTTTAGCTTTTAAAATTTTACAATTTTTTTTATTATTTTTTTATTTTTTATTGTGGTATGGACTCCAACTATCCATACCTGGTAGTGGGCTATACTTACTCATGACATTTTGATTTAAGGGGTTGTTAAACGTCGCCCCCATTTTACTAGGCATCACTCGCATTTTCTATATGAACTTTCGTATTTACCCCTCGTAAATAAATACTCACGACACTCACAACACTCATTTCTGAAATCACAACTCACTTCACTCTCATTTCATCTCTCTAAAAAAACAAAAAATCAAATTATGTAAAATCTGGAGAGAAAAAAAAAAAAAAAATAAAAAAAAAAAATAAAAAATAAAGTGGAGTTCCGCCTGAAAATTCTGGAAATACCAAGGAGGATCCAAAATTTCAGGCGGATCTACCCATCCGCCTTAAATTTCCCGATGTTCAATGGAGGATCCAAAATTTTCAGGCGGAACTCCACTTTTTTCTTTTCTTTTCAGATTTTACTATAACTTATTTTTTTTTAGAGAGATTAAATGAGCAAATAATATCAACAAATAATAACAACATAAGCAAATAATTACAACATTGATCACAACAACAATAATAATACTAATACTAATTACTCAATTTATCACAAAATTAATAATAATCACAATAAAAATTATAGTAATAATACAAAAATTACATTAATAAATTTGATTAATTAATCAATTCGAAAAAAAAAAACGATCCGCCCAGAATTTCCGGATCCACCTTGGTGGATCCGCTTAAAATTTCTGGATCCACCTAGGAAGATCCGGAAATTCTGGGCGGATGTGGAGATCCGCCTTAAATTTCCTGATCTACCTTGGTGGATCCGGAAATTTTAAGCGGATCCACCAAGGTGGATCCTAATATTTTAGGCGGATGTTTTTATTTCAAAAAAAAAAAAAAGTACGAGGGCTTATAGAATACTCCGACGATGCCTCTGGTGTACGATCGTTGTCATCGTCCATCGTCCTAAACCCATCGCTAAAGCTTAATAAATTTTTTTTTTCAAAAAATACGGATTTTTGGTGTTGGATCGAATGTGGTGGGGTCGGGAATTTTTTTTATCACGTGGTAGTAAGTGGAGGGGTCGGGAATGATATTATACCATTATATACTACAACTAACACAAAGGGCAATATCGTCCTTCCATGTCAAAAAGGGAGCGATGTCCTGTAAAATAAGAGCGTTGTTTAGCAGTTCACTTGATTTATCATCGGCCGAACTGGTGTTTTTTTTTTTTTTTTTTTTTTTTTTTTGTTTCTTCATTTTTAATTGTACTCTGTACAAAAGTTTTCCAAGAGGAAAACTGTTTTATTTATTTTTTATGTATAGACCACAAAGAGCAATTAATGTAAATGGAATTTAATCGGCTTCAAATGAGTGGAAAGTTGTGGCATATATGAATGGCATGTTAATTATGAGTTGAATTGGTTCCATCTTATGCCTGAGGTGCAAGTTGAATCAGATATACAGGTTTCTGAATTCAAGTATAATGGCCAAAATTTTAAGAAAGTGTTGCATTCTCTGTTTAAGGTTTCAGTTTATAATTTTATTTCTTCTGATCCTAATAGAGGTCAATTTTCCATGATAGAGCTTTGGACCTTTTGCACCATTGCTTCAAATTTTTCACTCCTAAAATCTCCTAAACATTGTGTAAAACAAAGACGCAAATAGTATGAACATTTTTTATCTTTAGTGACCTTTTAAAGTAATGGCTTTTTTTTTTTTCCTGAGAATTTAGGATAATCATTGGACATAATTTGATTGCACAAGGGCCAATGTCTTGTTGATATCTGAAACGACAACAGGTTTCAATTGGTTAGTATAGCTCTGTGAAGAATCTAAACCATGCTGCGGCTGCCTCAGTCAGAGCTACAAAATGGTTAAGGAAAGAATAGTACAAATAAATGTAATGTAGCGGGCCTAAGAATGAATGACTGGAATAATACAGAATAGTGAGGGAGAGCAAATTTCAAATTAGAAAGCAGAAATAGGAATGGTGCAGATGTAATGTTATTAGAATCAAACTCAATATTTTACTAAGCATATGTACTCAAAAACAACAAAACTGAGCCTCACCTGGTAAATTAACAAGATCTGCATCATCAAAGTAATTTGGAATAGATACAGTACTTCATCAAACATTAAGTTGTAGGACATTCTTTCTTTCTTTTTATGTTCTCTTCCCGGTTAATGCTTGAAAATTTACATCAGACACATACTTGAAGAGGATCCGCTGAGAAGGAAATACTATATACTACTCATACTCAAATTACACTCATAATCTACCGGATAAATTTACACAAAAAAAACCTACTATTTCACAAAATGGACAAAATTTGCTACTAAAAATTGATCAACAGCATCAGCATAAAAATTGATTACTTGAATTTGTCTGAGTTCTTGGATATGATGCCTTTTTTTTTTTTTTTTTTTTTTTTTTTTTTATTTATTGCAATTTGTGCTCCCTTCTGACCTTTTTCTCCCTCTTTTTCATCATCTGAGCTGCTAAAATAAGAAGCTCTACCATTTCAATGCCTGCTGCAGAAACTGAATCCATTTTCTCAGTGTTGGGGTTGCCATAATTTGAATCCTCATCGACATTCATATCACTAGATGATGCTACATCTCCCTCCCCAGACCAGCTAAGAGGCAAGGCAGCGCTAAGCGCAAGCTTTACCATTTCAGCTTCCCTAATGATTTCATCCAAGATTTCTGTTGTGCTAGAAGCAGCACTTTTAGATGAACGTGCATGTTTGGCCTAGAAATACAATTGAAAAAAATATAAGAACCAAGTTTTTATCACTTTGTAAATAATGAGTTGATAAGTGAATTGATACTTGTACGCACTACAAGAAGCATGGTTGCATAAATAATATAACTAGAGAAAATAAAAATCTGTTGAAAGAATCACCTGTATGAGAGAGACTCGAAGTTTACGAATGTCGAATGTCAATCGCTCCAAGTTTTGCATGCTTTCCTTAAGGGTTGCAATCTCGATCCGCAGCCTGCATGCTAAATTAACAGATCCGACTAAATAACTAGAGCATCTAGCATCAAATGAATTCAATCGAAACCATAATTCTGCTAACACAAACTTTGTAAAAATTGTAAGTCATAGACCTTGCATCATTCATGTTGTGATAAGAGCCTCTGTTTAAAGATGCTTCAGGTTCCAAGTTAGGGTGAGTCACAACAGGAGGATTTTCTTCTGTACCAAGCCAGCGTTTCAAAGAAGTTCTCTTGAATAAATTTTTAAGTCTCCCATCTCTTCCGTGAGCAATTATTTTTCCATCACCAGGTCTAGTAAGAAGGTTTCCTTCTTCAGTGGTTTTCCTGCAAAAGTCCAATCATAGACACTTAACAAGACGCTAGGTTTTTGGTCTGCATTATAAAATCCGAGAGGAAAGAAACATAGGAGTGCAGAGAAGAGTGGAAGATGTAGCATTTGAGGAAGAAGGTACATTCCATAAAAGGCATCAAGTTTCTAGCTACTAAAATTAGTCTTTAACCACCCCCCCCCCCAAAAAAAAAAAAACAGATAACAGCCTTAGGCATGAAATGTATATGAGGTCAGAATATGAGAATATAAATTCTCCCATAAAAGGCAGAATGTACAACTACTGTATCATGGTTACACTCATCAAACAAAACCTATATCAAGCATTCTTCTTTGCCAAAATGATGTTCCCAACCTCATTTTCTTCTTCCTCTTTTTTGGGGGGAGTGTTGCAACAGGTAAGAAAACCTATTCAGAGTTAGCTATTTAGATCGAGCAATAAAGAAAGCAAATTAATAAGGTATTTATTTGGGGACGTGGGATTTGGATTTGGGAGTGTAGTAGCAGATCTGAGGAACACATACTCTAGTAACAGTTGATATTCCTTTTTCACCTCTGCCAGTTCCAAGAGGGCTCTCACCTTCTCTTGAGTAGCCTGAAAACATGATATTAGCAAAGAAAGCACCAAATATCAACCAGTAGGAAAATTTAGCTCAATAAGAGATGCTTAACTTTGAGTAACTATAGTGTGTGACATGTAAACAGAATGATTATCCCAATATATAGTATAAATTGATACTTGTATTTATCAGCTTTCCGGTAAATATAACCTCCATATTCCAAACTGTCACAAACTGGAAGTCTTGTAGTTGATGAGAAGAGTTCCACTGCGACTCTCTCTCTCTCTATCTCTAAAATATCCCATATCTTAGATCCTACAGGATCTCCTTTCTTTATTAGCTTCTTTTCACACGCCCTCTTGTTTGCTAAACCAAATTTAGTCACAATTACTTTTGGGAGGGTCATTTTGTAGTATATATACCTCAAACATGTACATTACAAGTACCATTTATTTTTTTAAAAAAAGGGAAATCGAGTGTTAGATCTAATTTACTTCCTTACATCTGATTATAGACTAGAGTTTTCCCTTTCCTCATTCAACATGTTTTGCCTTTCATACTCTACAGTCAATAGATTTCAAGGAGGGGAAGAGTAATTACTAGTTGTAGAGTCCTTTGAAGCTCATCCATAGTTTCTTGCAGTGCACCTTGGACATTTTTCTCAAAAAGATGTCTTTCTTCTTGCTGTGATAAAAGTAATAAAGTTGAAACCTGAAAATAAAGACCATGTCAATTAGCATGCCATCATGGACAAAAAAAAAAAGGACAAGTGACAAGCATATAATCAGTACTTTTTCTTGCAACGCCTGTGACAGAGCTTCTGAAGAATCGACCATCCGAGAAACATTCAGTGTGGAAAAATCAGTTACCTACAGAGCAATGCCCCACAAAAAATCACACAGGCTTTTATTTCTATTCAAACTACAAATATCAGTTCATATATAAGCGCATTAGCTACTTTTATTGCAACTAGTCACTGTCCAACACATTTCCTGTCAGTATAGTGACTATAGTCAGCTAGTCACTAGGGAGAGCAGAGTTATAAAACAACACAAACCATTTCCTGAGAAAAATTTATGCACAAAGATGAGCCAACAGACCTCAGCAGAATGCGTGTGTTTAGGAAACTCCTCAATCTTTTCCTGAATGCTGCTGACAACTGATTTTATATAAGATTTTTCATCATCAAGCAGTTTCATGATGTAGGTCTTTTGTTGAGAATTATATTCACGAATTGATGATATTCCTTCAACAATAAGTCTGTCTGACAGAATCTGGTTTGAGAACATATTTACCTTATAAATAATGCAACAATTAGAGAGTTGATATTCAAACTTTGAAGATGGAAAAAGAACCTTACCCTTTTATGCTCCAATTCAGTAATCTTACTCTTCAAGTGCTTTTCAATTTCCCACCCCTGCAAGCCATACCATGAAGTGAGGTATAAAATCATAGAAGGAAGGTAAAGACAGGAGATGTCCACAGAGTTCATCCATAGAAGAAAAATAGAATAAAATTGGAGAACTCTACATTTACTTTTGGAAGTTCCATGACTTATTTTACACACAGGTAGTAATTTAATCCAATAGTGGTACAAATGTTATTTTCAATTTAAACAAGAGTTACTGAAACAAAAAGACTAGGAAACCATCCCCCTAGACAATAATTGAACTAATGAGGTTCAAACTTGAAAAAGAATTTCTATCTCACCATTTGCATTTTGTTTTGAAGATCACTTCTTAAGGTCTCCACCTCTTCCTGCAAAGCAGCCTGTCTGAGGAAGAACTAATAAATATGGGCATGTAATGTAAATAGAAATGCACACAAAAGCCCAGAAATTCATTTGAATTAAATTACAATCCAGAAAACATTGAATTCGATACTCAATGTACCTAAGTAGAGATCAAGGTTATTATTTAAATGAAACAACAAATTGGATTCAGTGACTTTTCGCACACAGTTAAGATAATATGCTTCCTAGCCAAATATGCCCTCTCCACACTACCTTAAAAGGAAATAAGTTTTTTTTTTTTTTTTTTTTCCAAAAGTCAACAATGTGTCTATTCTTCCAAATTCAAAGAAAACAGATTACGGTACATTTTACTACTGTAGCCCTAAAGATACCTTGCCAAGACTTTTTTCGTAACTAGTGTACCAACTGAGATAGTTAGATTACTACTAATAACAGGTTGATTCAATAATGATATATCCAAACTTCAACTTGATTGAAAATGTGTCATCAATACAAATCCCTTTTCAGCACTTAAGAGTTTTCATTCCTTTAAAATAGACAGCTTGAGGATGTGGTCCTGCAGAGAACTTCTGCAAAAGTAAGATCTTTAGGATATATTTCTTTTGTAAAACTGTGGAACAAACAAATTTTCCCTGCTATCAAGTGAGGCCTTTCCCACGATTATCTCAAGTGATGTACAATGTAATCTCTTACAGTCTCACTATAGGTGCTTACTCCTGCAGCTTTGTCATTATCCTCATTTCAATAAGATTTTTTATTTATCAGAGAAGAAACAAGAACAAGGAAAATGCAAGAAATGGGCCAAGGCCTCCAATCGTGGCTACTTACTCAAGACGCAAGAAGCAAGCCTGATGGAGGAATAAGAAGAAATGCTGAGCTGTCACATTCACTGCATTTTATTTAATTGCTTCTAGATTCTGTTTTCAATTCTGTTATTTTGTTGAGGGCTTTGTTAGTCTTTTTGTCATAAGAATAAAATTCTGTTATTGGGGGGGGGGGGGGGGGATGAATGTGAGCTAGAACTCTGTAGAAGGAATGGCAGTATAAATAGGAGTGCATGAATACAACAAGGGTGTCCAGAATATTATGCAGAAAGCTTAGGCTTGGGGAGAGAACCTTCCTCTCAAAAGAAGGCTGGCTATCTGTATTTATCAATACAATCAAACACTCCATTTCTCTCTCTTTCTCTGTTTCTGCATTTTCAGCTTACTAGCCTCACCACACACAGCTTGTAGTTCCATTCCCATAGACTGATTTCTAGCAGAAAAGTAATCTCTCACTAAAGATGCTTACTCCAACAGCTTTAGCACCTCTCCAATCCTCTCAAGCCTAATACCAGAACTACTCTAATCCAAAAGTTTCCGCCATTACAACTATTGCATGAGTCATAAATCTCATAATCATAGAAATCATGGTACACTCTTTCTTCTCTTCCTTACTTCCAGGGGTAAAATATAAACAATCATCTCATAGGACCATGGGTTTACAAAAATGCTCAGCAGTCAAATGTAGAAAAAATGGGCTTTTTTCACTTATTCTGAAGCTTTGAATTCATAGAATCAATTCAAGATCAGCAACTCACAACATAGGCATATCAGATAAAGTTAAATTTCAGAAGACTTCAGGTTCAGGAAATGGATATGCCATAAATCAATATAGTATCCTACTCCTACAAAAAGCCTGATCTTTATTTTACACCAGAGCATTGCTCCCAAAGCCTTCTATAGAGCTACAATCCCTCTGTTTAAGCTTATAAGGATACACATGTTGTGCCATCTAAAGGGCCATCTCATGTACCCCATTTGCACAGAAAGAAAAATATTTCATTTAATCTCCTCTTTCCTATGGAATAAAAAGGACACATATTGCCACATTCACACAAAATTGAGCTACATGCTTCCATTCAATAGAGCCCTCGCAGAGTTAATTATAAAACAAATAGAACAATGTAAAAGAAAAACAAGAACTCACCACATAGTTAGCAACGGAAGCTTCCTTATAAATATTGAAGCTCCATGATTCTGAGGAATCGTTATATAAGCATGCGCACTTGTCATCCCAACAAACATCATCACATTGATCATCACACCCATTATCATCATCCCCGTTACCTCTACAAGCTTGCTGCCTGATCTTGTAGAACTTATTAATGATCTGCAAGAAAAGGCATTGCAAATGTTAAATAGAACCAGAACTGGATAAACCCAAATTAAACCATGATTTGGATAACTGGATCAGGCTCATCATCAAAGGACAGAGTAAATGCCTCTCTAAAAATTTCCATCTCCTGATCTTGTTTTGCAACCTTCCTCTTCATACTCGATAGTTGCTCTTGTGTATCAGCAAATTTTACAGTTACTTCTTGTAACCTGCTTCAACGATTTATTAAAACGTACATCAACTAATAGCGCATCATAAATCAAATCATAATCAACTGCCTATCACTTGCTTCAAAGCAACCAAAAAGCGATTTCAAATACCACCAACAAACTCCAATAAAACATTACCAGAATAAGAAATATTCTACTTCACTGATTTTTATTATATGAGACAATCTTGTTCTGCAATTGTCAATGCATATCTTCAAATGTTAGAATCTTTCATTATAAATAATAAATGGATATTAAAAAAAAAATAAAAAATACTCAAGACAAAATTAACAAGATCCCACATGACTATGATTTTCCTTGTGAAAAAAAGACGCCCAAAATATCGATTATACAGAGTGTGAATGGTGTAAATTTAGAAGTGTTTCATCTACATAAAAATGATGTGTATGCTTACACGACAACCGCAGAGTTGTGGTTTATAAACCACATATCCAACCAGTTAACTGTGTTTATATAGTTATATAGAGTTAACTGGTTGAATATGTGGTTTATGAAACATACATCACAATGCTTTTATCGAGTCAAGGCATTAAAGTGCAAGCCAGATCTTATACTGTACTAATATTAGACACCCCCCCCCCCCTTCTTTTACGTGGGTAATATAAACTTACATTTTAAGGACATCGAGGGGTTGTTAGCCAATTAAAGAGGTCTTAAGGCACATGGTCACCAACGGAAGGGGTCAGTATGGTGTTATTAGACAAGGAGTCAGAGGGGTTCCCTCCACAGGCAACTTGCAAGTAAATTACAAATACAAATGCACATATACCAAACTTGAAACACTAATGAATCACAAGGGGAAACATTATGAACTGAAATGCACCTTTTCTCGGCATCATTCATTTTCTGAGACATCATATCTTCATTTTCTTTAGCCTTCTCAGCCTGCAAACAGCGAGCCAACATTAATACAAATACAGCTAAACATAATTATAGCAAAGCAGCCAAACAAGAAAGAGATAAATAATGACCTCCAGTATTGCATGATCACGATCAGTGAAGGCATTAGTAAGCATTCCACGCATGTATTCAAGCTGCTTAGCTAATTCCGAGTTCTGCAAATTGGTGAAAGCAGAAAAAAGGAATCAAATGTTGCCACTAATGTCAAATTTCACATTAAAAAATAAATACACATTCCTTTCTTCATTCAGACTAAAGCATCAAATAAACAAATGAAGTAATAATCTTCAGTTTCCACCAATCTCCATATTGACTGTCTTCCCATACATATATTAAATACTTAGTACAAGAAATTAAAAACAAGAGAAATATGCTAGTTTTGCCTTCAAAACCACTTGCATGGTCTATGCATTGTCTAGCAGTAGCCAATTTGGTAATTTAAGTGCAAAACAATGATTTTGAGTCCAATAAACAAAATAACACTCCTACTCTTTGCCCCTTTGTTCAGTAAAATAAGTCGGTTTTTATTGGCAAGTTTCCATAACAAGAAAAACACAGCTGCTGCAACAGAAAACAAGATGCAACACAATCTTTTAACAAATGAATCAAGGGAAGAGCATATAACACAAGTCTCTAACAGAAGCAGAAACTTCAGTTCATCGATGCATGTAGGCGTGTCTAAGTTCATAGTTCACCTAGCATAGTAGTGAGCTAGTAACTAAGCCTAATAAGTCTTACACACCAATGTACAGGATAGAGAAAGAAACTGACCTTTGCAACCTCCGATTTGTGGAGTTGATCTATATATGTCTAGAACAAGAGAAGAGAACCCATCAGACATAGATAACATTAATATTTGACTGTAAATATAGTAAAACTAACTTTTATTCTCTGAGCCTCAGAAAGCTCTTCCTTGATATTTGAATTCTCTTTGATACTATTAGTCAGCTTCTTCTTTAAATTCTCAACTTCCTGTTCCAAGCCAGCAGTCCTAATAGACCAATAAATGTGCAATGTTGTAATATTTCTCAAATTAAACCTCACATTCCAGCATACAACACATTATTGAGGTTAAAAATAATAAAATCACCCAGTAGCTTCATTAATTCATATGTGATGTTCACCTTCGACAATACATCTGAGTGGCAAAAGTAATATAACTGGGACCCGCTTGTTGCATGCACAATTGCTCAATGTCTTTCTGCAGCTCATCTTTCTCTACCAATAAAAATAAACAAGTGTCATGACACTCACTTCTCAGGGATATCCATACAATGACATTATATGAGCATTATACAAGCAAAAAAAAAGAAGGGGGGGGGGGGCGGGGCGGCGGGCGTCAACCCTTAAGCAAAACGCAGGTGCAAGCAACTGGCTCCTAAATAGTTCATACATGAACACTCCCAAGTCCACCTCTCCCCTCCCGGCCTCCCCAACCCCTAAAATAATAACCCCAAGGTCCCACACAAAACCATAGTCCATTCAGCTTTGTCAATAACAAAATGAAAAGAAATTCCATCCCAACTCATCCACCGTCTTGGTATTTGTTGTACATCACCCTTCTTAGCCTCAATATGGAAGGAGGAAAGTAAAACGTAGCTAACATGAACGGTTCTGTTACCATCACCTATAGTGTTTGACAGCCTTCCAAACAGAAGAAAACTTGTAAAAGTGAAACTAGCTACAAAATCATCTTACAGGAACAGGGTTTATAATGATGGGAGAGATCCGTGCTTTTGGAAATGAATAGGAAGCCTACTACAAGGAACACAGCAAGTTTCAGTGAACTCTGGCAACGATACCACTGAGAAAATGGCCAGGTATAAAAGCTACATGAGACCAAGGTTGGCAAGGTCAACACTAAAGATCTAGACAATAGTATGATCATGGAACTAACAGAATGGAAACTAGGAAACAATAGTTTGAAAATTCAAATATCGAGATTAATACATATTGAAAGTCCATTTAGGTGCTTAGTCAGTTAGTGCCACTTTAGAGAAAGGAGAAACAGTAACTTCTTACAAGCTTAGGTAGGTGATCTTCTTCCCATTCCCATGATTTTGATATGGATTTTCACTAGGGCTTTGTGAGTAATCTGACTCTTCTACTCCATGGACAGGCTAGGACAGCTAGGTATAGTTTGAAATCCAACAGGGTACCAAAGGCAGGTTTGCTTATCTTAGATTCTGAGCCTCTAATGATGGAGCAGATGAGACCCTTCACAATGTAAGGAGGGGAACTGAGACCCCATAATTATCCACTAAATTGAGTCGCCCCAAATAGGAAAAAACAAGAGAAATCAATCAGCTTATGAGCCTATTTAATTACTCCTCCCACTATGACTTAGCTTCAAAATGGAACTTAACCTAGACTTTTAAGATGTTTCCCGTCCTCATCCTTCACAGGCGCAATATATGCTAATTTTCAAATGCTGAAATTAGACAAAACGAGCATACTTAAGCCTTCCAACTACAGTTATAGAATGAAACCTTCAAACAAGTTTCACATGAGGAAATTTATTTCATTAGTTCCACTTCAATCTCACACTTCCAAACAAACAAACAAAAAAAAATCAAGCAAGCGAAGTAGCACGGAGTTTTCAGATATCATATTTATCAGAAATCTATTATATCTAATATGTATATCTTCTAGCATATTATGAGAAACATACCATGTTCCAGCTGCTGAATTCGAGCATTTAACGACTCCTTGTCACCCAAATTTTCATCCATATCTGAAATTACACATATTGAACTTTTACCAGGACATAATTGGCAATCTATTACATTGCATAATTTATATTACAACAAGAAAATTATACAGAAATGTCATACCTAAAATCAATGTAACTTCCATGCTCATAACATCAAAAAAAAAAAATAAAAAAAAATTCAAATGCGAATATCATCATCAATAATTAATTAAAACAGCACGTAGTATAAAATTAATAATAAAAAAAAACTTCTCATTTTTTTTTTTTTTTTAATTTGAAGGGATTCAGGTGATCAGCAATCATCACATATCAAGAAAAAAAAAACAGAAATTGGGTAAAGGAAACCAACCTGAAAACGACGAAAAAAAACCCTAGGTAGCAGAAATCGGTGAGGAACAACGCGTAATTGGCAATTAGAAGTGGGCAGTTTGCTTAAACCAATCAAATTCTTTCTGTGTAGATAAATCCAGTAGTTGTTGTTGGAAGGAAGACGACGAAGATGATGATAGTTTGTCGAAGAGAGGAAAAAAATGAAAAATGAAAAATGAAAAATGAAAAGTGAAATTGAAAAGAGATTTTGTGGAAGAGGGATTGACTGGGTTCGACTTCTGCACGATTTAACGTGCAGCTTCCATTGTTTGGAGAAGGGAAGAAGTTGTCAAGCCTGTAAAGTTTACAATTTTGTCCGGTTCTTCGTGCTTGCTTCTTTCACTTGTATTCTCAATATTCACAAACTACGGCTACAATACTTATTATTTCCTCCATTCCTTCTTAGTTGACGCATTTACGTTTGTCAATACACAACTTCAAGCATTCATATATTTAATTACTGATAAGCAAAATTATAGAAAATTGATATTTTAAAAATATATATAGTGAGGAATCTAACAAGATACCACATGACTATATTTTTCATTACGTATAAAACACAAAACACGGTAAAGGAGAGTATGTGAATAGTACTAAAGTCAAAACGTGTTAACTAAAAAAAAACGGAGGTTTATTTAGAAGCAAATTATACAAATTATTATGTTAGCCACCAAGACCAACCTAACTCGTCGTGTCATGTCATGTCATTATCTTTATGTCTGATTATGTTACCTATAAATATTAACACATTTGATTGAAATTTGGGTAGAGAGACGACAGACGAGTAACACATATTAATATTCGATTAGCTTTGTATATGTTCTACTCACTTGATGTACCACCAATTATATGGATGAAGAGAGTTGAAGAACCACTCATGCTCTACTCACTTGATGTACCATCAAATGAGAAAGACTTATTTATATTAGTTGATGCAAATAATAGTAAGAATAAGATTATTTTTGTGTGAATGCGTTTGCCTGCTAAAAAGAGAAAGACATAAAAACAATAGTAATTATACTACTTACGATTTATTAGGGCTAAAGTCCAAACTTTGTAGTTTATAGGTGTACAAAAAGATAAAAATTCATAATTTCTAATAGTACATTAAATTATTATTTGTAAAAGAAACTTAAGCAATAATTTTATTGATGATCTACATACTCTTAGAAAGAATCTGGGGCAATTATCTTAAAAGTCTGACTTGATGAGTGAGGATCCACTTTAAAGTTTTGAGAAATTAATGGAGAAGATTGTTCATCCAATGTGTGTAGTTGTCCTAAGAGCTTAACTTGATAATCACCATGTAAGAGTGAAGCGTTGAAGAAGCCATCGGCATCTGTGGTTGCAACGACGGCTTTGTCGCGGTAGCCCCATTCTTTCAAGACCTTGTCTACAACATCCCCTGCTGGTAAGTTAGTGAAGTTGGGGTCTACCAAACACAAATTGTAACATTGTTGGCCTTGGGGTGACCATGGTCCCCAAATCACAATGCCTTGTACTCCTCTATGGGAATGCACTTCCCTTAGTACTTGTTCAAAGTCTGATACCTACACATACAAATCAAAACACGATAAAATAAAGCCTTATAAGTTTTCGGTTATTTACTTGGCTTGTTTGATCGGTTGGTTATTTTAGTATAAGGTGGCAATAGTTGTAATTTAAATTACCTGGTTAGGTCCCTTTTGAACATCAAGCTCAGTGATCCAAATAGGGAAGTTAGAAGCAGCAAGAGTGTCAAGAGCCGATCTCACATAAGGAAGATTTGGGACACCGAAATGACCCTCAAGGCCAATTGCAAGGTTAGCCTTACCCCCAAGGAAGTTAGCTATTTCCCCAATCTTCTGGAGATACTTCGATGGGGAAGAGGCTGCGTCGCCCTGATCCTCTATCGTGTTATAGTCATTCATAAACAATGTTGCGTGTCCATCTAGTTGACGCGTTTTCTGGAAGAATATATCAGTAATATTTGCCCCAAGCTTGTTCTCGAAAAAGTTAAAATGTAAGTTTTCATTGTTAACATCCCATGCTATCACCTTCCCAGCATACCTGCCAGTAAACAATAATATTAACTACAACATTAGAAAGCTCAATTAAGAATATTCGAAAATTGTTGCCCTATTGGAATGTTCAATCTTAAAAAATTATTAGATTAAAGATGTACCTCGAAACTATTGAGTTGAGTCTCTTATCGGTGGCTGCTAGGAGGTCACTAGGGGAGAGGTTTTTTTCCCATTCCATTTGATACTTGGGATCATCCCAGAAGATGTTGTGGCCACGAATAGGTATGCCGTGCTGGCTAATGAAGGCAAGCATGGAATCGGCTTGAGAGTAGTCTTCCTTGCCTTGAGTGTTTTCTGTGGAATACCACTTCATCTCGTTCTCAAATGTGGTGACTGTGAACCTAGAGGTGAACCACTTTTGGTAGGCTGTGTTATCGACAATGTTGTGGTTGATAGAAGCTCCGAAAGGAAAGCTTGCTTTGTTTTGGTTGATTGAGATGTTTGCATAGGGTACCGGCTTTCCTTTGGAGTTTACAACTTGGAGTCTCACTTTGGCCTTTCGAACCTTGGAAACAATCATTCAAATTTGCATTCATTCATCAATATTATGCATGAGATTTATATACGGAGGACTAGTTCTGTTGAGGAATTTTCTTGTTTAAGGTTATTTAGTAATACCTTCTCAATGCTTTGATCTTGATGAGATCTCCATTCCTCCTTGGTGAAAGGTTGTAGTGAAATGCTATCAACCCAGATATCAACCGATGTATCATTGCTCTAACATGAGAAATAAAAAGTTTTATCGTTGATTAAGTTTAAATATGGCATGCCGCCAATGAAGTAACTTCATAAATTTGAACATCGCGATAAAGATAGGATAAAAATAACATTATGGAAGGATATTTTTGTGAGCTAACGGTGAATCTTTATTATCAACGTGACAATTTTTCCTACCAAATACAGTAATCATATAGAAAAAGGATGTTACCTGGAAATAAAATTCAGCTGGGCCTGAACACTCAACTGTGATGCCACCCTTAAGCATGGACCAACATCCTACTTGAGCAATGACTGAACCAGCTGGCTTGAACCCTTCATTAGTCTTAAAAATTACAATAACTGGTGTATTTCTCCCCCCATTTACTTGTATCCAAACTTTATGGAAAAAGAAATAACAATAGGAAACATATCAGACAAACAATAAAATAAATATATATATATATATATATATATATATATATATATATATATATATATATATATATTGATATTAAATTCGACATTAATTTATTTTGTATCTAAGTGACAGATTTATATACTTAACTAATAGAGAATAAAAATATTCCAAGCTAAAGTAATTAACATTCACGTGTATGATAGATTTGTGGATAGAATTTGACAAGAGACAAACCGGAAAATGTGTAAAGTTTCTCTTTGTCTAAGAAGACTTTCTGGGATACACTGCCATAGCGGTGTCTTCTACTATGAGCCACAATGAAGTTGTTTCCTTGTACTGACACTTTAGGCTCAATTTTCACCCCTCCATGAGTTCTCCAACCATTTAAGCCATCGTTTATTTCTGGGTTCACAACTATTCCCCCATTATATTGAGGTTTAAGAGGCTCTGCCAAGCACTAAAAAAATCAAACAAAATCTATTACTACGTAGATTGATCGATTAAAATTGTATACGGACATATAATTCTAATTGTTCATTAGTTATGTTTAAATAAATTCATTGCACCCAAAAAAATTAATAAGATTTGATTTTTAAAAATGTTAAGATACACGGATCTAAAAGTCCTCCTATCTTAAAGAGACATGATCCAATCCATTATTTCATGTACTTCAATTCATAGTACATATTATATCACAAAGCACTAATAATCTTCTAGCATGCAATTATAAAGAGAACGAACGTTCAACTTTATAACTACATCCTAGGTTGCTTGTGATTGAAGAAAGGACATAAAAGATAGGAAGTACAAAAGTGCTTACATCAGTGATTGCAGTGTGATCGTATGACACTGCATCTACCAAAATTCCTGCAAATGTATGAGAGCTTATTGTCAAATTTTCATTTCATTTCATATATAGTTTAGCAAAATTTTATGGTAGTAGTCTATGTAACTATGTAAGATCGAAACGGGATTTGTGAATGTATACTTTTTTTTTTAGTTTCTTCTTAAATAACTTATTTCACTAGCACACTTATCGATGCATTGCTTAAACAATTAATTTCATTATCAATAAGTAAAATTCATAGAATTAATATTTTAAAATTATACACTCATGAGTCATGACCATGTTTTCCTTAAGAATAAATCAACTAGATTATGTATGCATGGTGTAAAATGTCAAACAAATCATCTAAAATAGAGCAAAAATAGTATATGCATGAAAGAAAATGACGAAATACCAATCCGCAAGTAGGTATAATGTCCTTAATTTAATCCTCTAAACCTATGTTTAATTTAAAGATTTGGGTTACCAGCTTAATTACCTCACAGTTGATATTACATATACTTCGTACATTAGTAACATTATTAATAAGAGTATGTACTACAAAATTCCGGTTTCTGCAGTGTGTTTAAGATGTGGTCCGACTGGTTAACTGTCATAATCATAATAGAGCTATAGAGGTGTTTTAAGCCTAAGAATTTAAGCATATATATAGATGCTACTAATTAACCTACATTTAGATTACTTAGGTGCTACCTAATCCCCATCTACATGCCCAATATTACAACTTCATTTATTTATTTTTTGCTTAAATTTTGGGGAGTAATATAGTGTATGTATACTTAATACTTGTATGTTTTAAGGGTAAACGTTGCCCATTAATATATTTTTATATCATTTTATTTTACCATTGTTTGAACTTTTTTTTTTTTTTGAAAAAACCAGCAGGGATATTATTAGATAAGGTCAAGCTCTGCCAAAGCGACTATACTTTGAGGGAACGGATTTTTTTTACCATTCTTTGAACTTATATTAATCTAAATTGTAAAATTATGATTTTTATTTTTTTATTTTTTATTTAAGGTGAAGAATAAGGAGCATAAAATAAAAGACCAGTGTCACGAAAAAAAAAAACCTTTAGTTATTACGAACATTATTCATTCTCCACTTAGGGAGTTAGGGGTACTTATAGGACATAATCATATGTACTACGTCAAATACTCATTTAACTCTAGACCCTTCTTTTTATTAGTCGTCATAACATACAAACAAAACATCCAACACAAATTATTATACATTGACAATAAAAGGAAATAATTATTCACCTAGATAGATTTTTTTTTTAATACATAATATAAGTCCGCTTGTGGAATCATGGATACGGTGATGAGGCTAAGATTTAACCTTTTTTTAGCATAAATACCTACACGTATTACTAAATTTTTTTTGTGAAAATTTTTGAATACACGGTGCACCCTAGTGGAAAACCTAATGCTTGGACATTGAAATCGAGAGAACGTACCTCCAATTATAAACAAAGATGCTAGAAACAATACCATGTTGCTTCCTCGTTCAACCTTCATTTTAGGTAACTGCAAATAAACCTGCACAATTTTGAGACAATATTCATAAATAAAAAACAAGAAGTTGACGAAGAGAATGTAAAAACTCGGGAGATATACTTGTACATGATGACTTTACCAAATAATATGAATAATAACAAAATAACCAATTTAATATTGATAAGAGTATATGAATAATTTGGAGTTATACACTAATTAGTATTAGACAGAAAATGGATCTCCCATTAAAAGTATATGAAGAAGCACCGACTAAAAGGAAAAAAAGCTTTGATACTGTATTATTTGGAGGGTAAACAAAAGATATGGTTGATTTAACAATAATTCCAATGTTTAAATGGAATGAATTGATATTGGACAAGTCTCCAATTAGAGGAAATAAATCAGCAATACAGACCATAATTAGCTAGATATCATACAGAGGTGATTACATTCTATTTTTGGTTCACTGCCTTTGTGTGTGTCTCTTGAGCTAATGTTTGCAAGTGATTTTCACAATAATTTATCAATTATTATAGTCCTTATATTTTTGTCCAAACCATGCATCTTCAAATATCTTGTGTGTAAATGTTTGATTTTGTGTTTGATATTCTAGTCTTGTTCATGGACCATGGTCGTTTTGCTTTCCATATTGTATATTTTGTCATATCCTCTTCTTGTTTCTCCAATAAAAATTATGGTCGTGTCTCGTGTTCCTTTTATTCTAAATTTATTTGTTTTATAGAGCTTATATTTGGTAAACTTAACTTATGTTTTTGCTGAACCTAAGTTATTAACTTATAAATAGATTTTTACTTAGCTAATAAAGTGAGATTATGTAAAACCACACCCTCTCATCTACAATATTCACATAATTAGAGCCCATTCTCTTGACTCGTTATTTATTGTACTTTAATTGTTTTTGCTAAACTAAATTTATTTCTCATTGTTTTTTTTAAAACTTTGTTTACATAAATAAATTATTTTAATAATTAAAACTTATTTAACTAGGGCTTGTCAGGCATCGTTATTTATTTTGAGTTTTCTGTTTTTTTGAAAACAAAAAACCAAAAATTGGAAACAAGAAAAAGATATTTCCACTTTTCTGTTGTCAGTTTTCAAAATTATCATGAAATTAATAAGTTTGACTATTTTTTAATTCATTACATAACATGTATCATATGATTTTGAAAAACAAAAAAATAAAAAAAGAAAACCACAACGATGTAAAACGCACCCTAATTAAAATTTATGCTGAACTTAACCTATTATACTCGTTTGGAGTTGGTGTTATATTTTAAAAATGAGATCCATGCACGATCCATGGCCTGCCTGCACTCCTCTCATGTTGTGTTAAGCTTGCGATGAGATTAAACCATATTGTACCATGCCTAACCGGTTTTCATGTCACTCCAATCCATGTCCATCTTAACCCCAAAAAAGTTGGTAATGTTGATGGAATATGTTGGGCCATTGGAGAGTAATATTTCGCTCCGCACCAAAAATGGGCTTTCTCGCGCTCAATTCTAATTGCATCATTCTTCTTCTTCAGTGAGTTGAGTCCTTTCTTTCGTATCAAAGAAGTTACAGTGAAGAATGTCAAAGATGGTGAAGAGTGAATCTTCTTCCAGCGATGTTCCACTTTCAAAACCATGGCAATCCTATCAGACTGTTTATACCAACGCCAAAGCTGGTCATTTTCCTTTCCTTTTTTTTTTTAATTCTGTATTTTCTGCATTTTTATGATACTTTATAATTTAGTTATGCTACTGCTAATTTCATTTTCTCTTTTATAAGTCTTTCTTTTATCTTTTTGTTTAATTTCTAGTACTATATACGAAGTAATTTCTAGATCAATCTGATTACAATGTTTAATTTTAATTTTACTGAATACTTAAATTTCAATTTGAATTTCTCTAGTCCTATCTTTCGTTTTCAAGGTGTGATTTTTACTAGTACATGTACTTTATACTATACCATTTCTCGTAATTTAGGAGAAAAGGGAGTTGGATAGTTAGGTTTTTTTTTCTTTTTCTAATTGGGTCTGGTCAATTTTACCACAAGTTTAACTAATTTATGAAATTATGGCTTAATTTGATGTTCTTGATTTTCTACTTGCACGCCCAAGTGTCCTTTGTTTCTGGTTTTGAAGGTGATTTACTGAGAACTTGTAACTCTAGGCTGGGCAATTTCGAAGCTATCTGATTTTATAGGTTCCTTTAATCGATTTTTTGGGATCGATATTATGTAGGCTTGTATTGACATATTTATGTTGGAAGTTTTCCTTATTATATGGATATATGTGTATTATAGGACCAAAAAGATGGCAGCTGCGCCTTTTAAAGTTGCCAATCTTGCCATTTTTTGATGAAGTTACATTATACATTTAGGTATGGATGGAGTTGAAAAGGAAAAAGTACAGAGAATTGTATATGAAATGAGCAAAGGGTCGAAGTATTTTGAAAATGAGGAACGCAAGGAGGCGCTTATGAGGCAAAGGACTGACAACATGCGTGAAAGGCTTGGAAAGCTCTCAATTACTGATATAGCTCACTATCAGAAGGTTGGTTCCTGGTATTTTGGTCATAAGTCATGCTATTGTTTTTTGTTGATTAATTATCTCAGTGTTTATGCAAATGTACAGATTGCTGAAAGAAGAATTACAGAATTAGAAGCCACACGTGACTTATCAAGAATTTGGCTTCATGTAGATATGGATGCCTTTTATGCTGCGGTTGAGACATTGAGCAATCCTTCGCTAAAGGGCAAGCCAATGGCTGTTGGCGGCATGTCTATGATATCTACTGCTAATTATGAGGTATGAAAAATTTGTCTGTCGATGTGGTTGATTGAGAATTTTTACTTGAAAATCTGCATGTGAGGATTTTGATTATCTAGCTTTTCACTTTCTCATCTGAAGATGTTTTGTCTTCTTTTAGGCACGGAGATATGGGGTTCGTGCTGCAATGCCAGGTTTTATTGCACGTAAATTGTGCCCAGAGCTAATCTTTGTTCCTGTAGATTTTGAAAAGTATACTTAGGGCCTGTTCTGTTCCGTTGAAATTCAGTTCAGTTCAGCTCAGCTCAGCTCTTAATTTATAATGATATTGCTAATGATATAAAGCCAAATTTCATTCTTTTAAGATCTTATTACAACGACAACAACAACAAAAATAATAATAATAAATAGTATATAAAAATAATAATAATAATAATAATAATAATAATAATAATAATAATAATAATATTAACAATAATAATAATAATAACAATAATAATTGAAATAATAATAATAATAATACTAACAATAATAATCAATAAATAATAATAATCATCAATAAATAATAATAATAATAATAATAATAATAATAATAATAATAATAATAATAATATAATAATACTAATAATAATAATCAATAAATAATAATAATAATTATCAATAATTAATAATAATAATAATAACAATAATAATATTGATACAATTCATTTTTCAAATGGTTCTATTTTTTTGAAACATATTTCTAATGTTAATCTCATTGAGAAAATTAGAGGTTTCAAGTTTTTAATATATTTTCCATACATTTTATAATATATTTTCCATACATTTTATAATTATAATTATATAGTATATTTTTCGTAAATATTTTAATATGTACATTTGTATATACACATATGTATAGTAATAAATATCAATAAATTATCAAAGATCACTAATCCGTAGTTAAAAATCACTAATTAATAAGTTCAGTTCAGCTCGGTTCAGTTCAGTTCGGTTCAGTTCAGTTCAGTTCAGCTGAGTTCAGTCAATCAGAACAGGCCCTTACTATAGTACTTTGACTAGAAAAGGTGGGAGCTAATAAGGATGTTTTTTGCAATTGATACCAAGTAAATTTATTTTTTTTATTATTTTGTCTATGGCTTGCTAATCCAATCCTGCATGATCAAACTTCAGTATTTCAGAGATACGACCTTAACTTCATTTCTGCCAGTTTAGATGAAGCATACCTTGATATAACTGAGGTCTGCAGAGAAAGAGACGTGAGAAGTGACGAAGTGAGTATGCTTGATGATTAATATTTGTCATATATTCCTAATATTCTTCTGCTTTTGTTTATCCTTTTTACCTGTGCGCATCACTTAAGTGTATGAATTACTTCATGTCTTCATTTCATCTTTTCATATACTTTTTCAACAAGGTTGCTGAAGAGATCAGAAGAAGTGTTTTTGAAGAAACTGGTTTGATTTGTAGTGCTGGTGTGGGTCCTAATCGATTACTGGCCAAGGTGCTTTATATTTTTATTTATATCCTTCTCAGTTCTCACTGCATGTATTTTGTTGAATATAATCTCCATATCATGATTTCTGTAATGGTTGTTCTGTAATGCATTTCTTAAGTCCATGCATCTGACAAAATCCCTATGTTTCTGCATTCCATTAATGGTTTCGTAGAGAAGGATTATCCTTTGAGACTGAATGACTGATAAGATCTTATCGATGGTTAGTTTAAATATGTAATGAATTCAGCATTTGCATGAGAAGTTTCAAGGCCACACTATTTGGCACTTTGTACTATTTGTAGAGTAAAAGATTGTACTTTTTGTGTATATTTGAAGTGTTGAGGGGCTTTGAAGTAGTAAACCGCTTCATCACATTTTGGACAGAGTTAAAAACTTGTATGGGTAAGGGTTTTCATCAATATTGTTGCATAACATAGATCATCGTTAGCAGTAGGATAAATCTGTCTTCAGATGAAAAATGCAACTAATGCTATGCTCTTTAGAGAATCATCATATATGTATATGAGAGCTTTCAAACGTCTAAACTATGCCCTTTTATTTCACCTGATACTCCCTCAATCACTATTCATTGTTATTGATGTTTTAAGGATGCAGTCATGCATAGCATTCCTACAAACTTTGAAAATAGCGGATTTGGATACCCTGTTTTATGATGTATGCCTGTTTTTTATTGTGATATTGACTTAAATTCTTGGTATTTGTGTTTATTATATGATTTTAGGTTTGCTCAGATATAAATAAGCCAAATGGACAATTTATTTTGCCGAATGATCGAATTGCTGTCATGACTTTCATATCTTCCCTCCCAATAAGAAAGGTATCTTTGTTATAAGCCCCCCATTTTATTTTATTTTTGCTTTTTTTTGGGTATCTTTTCTTTGATTTAGAATGTTATGAAAAGGCAATAACTGTAAATTGTGAAACCTATTGAATTTTTAGTGTACATGAACATTCTTTCATCGCTTGATTGCTTTATATGCCTTACGGACAGATTGGAGGCATTGGCAAGGTTACTGAGCATATCCTAAGGACTGCTTTTGAAATTGATACATGCAAGGATTTACTCGAGAAAGGCGGTTTTCTATGTGCATTGTTTTCTCCTTCATCTGCAGGTTGATTACCTTGTGGTTTTTCTTCTGCTTGAATCATTATATAATTGTGCAGATCCCTTAACTTTTGCTTAATGATTTAGTTGTATGGTAGCCTAGCAGCTTGTGTCCTTTCAGGGATATCTTCTCTTCAGTGTTTTTTTCCCCTAGTATGGGAAGATATTTCAATTTACATTTAAGCTATGTAGCAGAATTGGAGTGGGGCATCATCAGTTTTTAAACAGAAGTGTCAATAGTTGTCATAAAACCTATAATGCTTAGTAATCCAGACTCCAGAGTCTTGGCCACTTACATTTCTCCAGGTACTTCACATAGCAATTTAAGCAAACACCAAAAGATGTTTATTGATGTGAGGTCATCAGAAGGAGGGGGGGGGGGGGGGGTTGATTTTGTAATTTCCTATTGAGGAGTGGTGTTAATTGAAAAATTAGATATATGAGGACCACAATGAAGTGAGATAGGAAGATTTTTAAAAGATTTATGAGTTGGTCAGGTACCCTGATTTTAGCTTGATCATTTCTTATTTCTAATCAAATCAAAACACCTATTTCTTATATGAAGTACATATTAAATAACAAAAAATAAATAAATAAACTTAAAACCAATAATTTTACTAAAATTCACATCATTTCTGGCAAGATAATAATTTAATAGCAAGCAGAGTATGATTCCTTATACATTTTGCTGCACAGGCTACATATAAATCTGACAATGTTCATATTGTAAATCTGCTGCAGATTTTTTTCTTTCTGTTGGATTGGGACTAGGGGGCACAGATACACCACAAGCTAGACTGAGGAAGAGCATGAGTAATGAAAGAACATTTTCCGCCACCGAGGATGAAGCTTTCTTATATCAGAAGCTAGGTAATATGAACTTAAATTAACATTTTTCCACTACTGTTTAATTTCTTCACCTTAATCTGTTATAGCTCTAGCAATCCCCTGGAAATTATTGATGTTCAGATGTTGAGTCCTAGGCTGTAGTGGATATTGATGTTCAGAAGTCTCTATTTTTTTTTTTTGCCCCATATAACTTTTCACGATCTCCATACGCGTCATAAAATGTATATATATATTTATTCTATACGCGTAAAAATTATAAAACTTGATATTAATAAATTATAACATGAGACGAATCCAACATGATCCCATATGACTATAATATCTCTTATAAATTAACGGGAATGGTGAAAGTTATTTGACCCAAATATTGGCAATGGGGCAAAAAAAGTAGGGATGGAGTATAAATGTATGCAGACTAGTTAAGGGGTGGGTATCCTGAGGCTGGTAAATTTGGTGGCTGCTTTATTGGCTTCATCCATGCGCCTGGAAATTGACCAGCCTGGTTAGTTCATCACGTTTTGCTTGTGACTTGCCATGGAATGAACCTTGTACCAATTTAATAACAGAGGCAACAAGAAATATGCAAAAATGCAAAACAGACCAACATATGTACATTCCAATTGAGAAGTTTTCCTATATTGCAACTTTGCAAGTTGTGTTAAAGCATTTGAACTTACGTTTTTTTCTTCCTCCGGTATATAAAAATAGTCACATATTATTATACATGATCACCTTTTTACTTCTTACTATTTGCATAAATGTTTCATAAACAGTTGAGGGTCGGGTTTAGAGATTAATATTTTACTTTGACAACTTCACTTTCCCTGATTCCTTGTTGCAGCTGAACTTTCTCATATACTTTCAACTGATTTGCAAAAAGAAGGACTTCGTGGTCGAACTCTGACCCTTAAACTGAAAACTGCATCTTTTGAGGTGATCTATGATGTCTGCATACTTTATCCTTGATCCATTCCAAACTCCAGACTGGCAGTAGTGTAATATAGATGCTTGTGCGCACAGGATATATATTTCAGAGAGACTTGAAAGGTTTAGAAAGCGGCACATATATGAAAGTTTTTTAAGTTCTACATTAGCTTTCTGTTATCATAATTAATATTGTTGTATTTGGAATATTTTGGTGTGACCGATTGACCATGTGACACATGCAGTCATGCCTTTTGTTTAAGTTTAATTAATATTAGCTAATCTTTGGTTCTCGTTATTTAACTTCAAGCTCTTGACTTAGCTCTGGATATTTCAGGTTCAAACTAGAGCTGTGACATTGCCAAAATGTATATGTTCAAGTGAGGATATACTGTTGCATGCAAAGAAACTGCTGAAAGCGGAACTTCCTGCATCACTAAGACTTATAGGTAGTAAAGCCGTTTAATTTGCTTCCTCCCCCATTCAATATTAGATGCAGCACTTTGATATTTGCACAATTCACTTTGATATTTGTTAATAGTCATGTGAGATCATATTAGATTTGTTTCAATTTATACTTTCAAAATTTTTATATTTATTTATTTATTTATTTTTATAAATTAAAGATATTAAAAGTGAAAGTCATTAAGTGTTTGTTTCTAAACATAAATGGAGGAAGTGTTCTATATGTGGAATAGAAATGCCTCTCGAATTTGCTGTTGAAAGACAAGAACATTTTGATTTTCATCTTGCTGAGCGGTTGCAGGAAGAGTGCTCTGCTAGCAGCTCAATTAATTACTGCTCTAAACAGAGGTAAACACACCACTTCCTGCCTTTTCAGTTTGTTATTATTATTTATAGATAAATATTCTGTAATTGGACCGACCTTCCCTCCTGAAAAGGCTGTAGACACAATAAATTTGTACTAGGTGTATGTAGTCACTTTGCGCCAAAGGCAATGGTGCAATAAAACAAATAGTACATGAACTCTTCATATATATGTAAACACTTTGCATATTGGCATATCCATCATCTCTGGTTGTTTTTAGCTTTTGTCCCATACTGCTGACTGAACTCAATTGTAGAAATTCATAAAAATCATAAGCATCTAAATTATGTATAAATATTTATCAAGTTATTCTAATTTTTGTCAGGTGTTTTCAAAAAGATCAGATTGTGAGCCACAGTAGTAAGAAAAGGCGCAGGTCATTGCCAGAACAAGGCAAATATCATGCTATTGATTCATTTTTCACAAAGAAGAATCAAAATACTTAGTGTTCTGTGATCTGTCTGTTACTGTAATCTAGTATGTAGAGCATGATACATAGGTTATAGATACAAGGAATGGAAAGAATAATAACTTTTTGTTAGATGTTAATATATGTCATTTTCTCGTGTAAATTATAACAGTGAATCTGTTCAATTTGCATTTAAATAAACAGTGCCCATAATATAAATCTTGTATAAATTTCTGGCTCAACATTTTCATATGCCCGAAAATCAATTAGAGATCTATCACTGTTGTAGACTTTAGTATTCCAGTAAATGGTGAATGCGTTTGAATTGAAACTTACTTCAATTTTGATTTTGAAAACAAAATTTGTGTGGTTTTGTTAGGTTTGTTTTGACTATAATCCTTTCAAAAAATCAAATTATTGTAATTTTCAAAAAATGAAAAAGAAAAGCTAAAGGTATTAATGGCCAAAGTTGTGCATTGTGCATTGATAAATGTGAAACTCTCATGTATAATAGATTAAAAAAAAAATGGAGAAAGTGTATAGAGACTATTAAAGATTACTGTAGTATTAATAGCAGTTTGTTTACTGATCTCTGTCATATATATATATATATATATATATATATATATATATATATATATATATATATAAAAGCATATGCAATTCCAATTTATGTGCCAAATTATCAGCAAAATTGACATGTTTGATCTGAAGCATGTGCCATAACTCAAAATCTCATCCATCAAGGTACCAAACTTGATTCAAAATTTACATTTTCAGACAATTGACCAGATCAATCAACGTGCTAACAATTACTTGGTCTGAATTTTCATATTAATTTTTTATTTTAAGATTTCATTTCTTACAGTTTACAAAATTTTAACTCACAATACTGGATCAAAAATACTTTTATTATGTGTTTTTTTCCCCCCAAAGAGAGTTGCATTTGGCTATAATCTGTAGTCATTTTTTTGATAATATGTTTTTGTCAAAACCAGTGGTCATTCCTTTTGCCGTTTAACCCTTATACCAAACTAGTCAGCTACAGATGGCCACTGGAATGGTTCTCAGTGTTGCTAATACTCTGTTTGCAGCACTACAAAACAAGGAACTAAGAGAGCTATGCTCCAGTTTTGGGTATGAATCCCAACTTGACAAGCTTCAGTGCACCGTCACCTCCATCAAGGCCATCTTCCTTGATGCGGAATCTAGGCATCAGGAGCTCACCCATGAAGAAGGCCTAAATTGGGTTGATAAGCTCAAGGATGCTGTCTATGATGCTGACGATTTGTTCGATGAGTTCACCACCATTGCTCAGCAACTCAAAAGATTGCCCGGTGGTAAAATCTGCAAAAAGGTACGCCGTCTCTTCTCCCCTGAGAACCAACTAGTCTCTGCATTTAAGATATCTCAAGAGATTAAGAAGCTTAGGGAGATATTAGATTGTAATCAATCTTGGTGTAGTTATCTGTATGAACCTATCAACAGAAAAGAGGAAAAATACCCTTGTGTGTTTGAAATGAGTATTATTGGGAGAGAGCCAGACAAGGAGGCTATTGTAGGTATGTTGTTGTCGGACTCCAATTTTTCTGCTGATATTAATCAGGAAAATGTTTCTTTTGTGACTATTGTGGGAATTGGAGGGTTGGGGAAAACTGCTCTTGCCAAACTTGTCTTTAATGATAATAGGATTAAAGGGGCATTTGGAGACTGGATGAAGTGGGTTTGTGTGTCAGACGGATTTGGCATTAAAGAAATCCTTGGTAAGCTGTTGGTAAAGAATGATAATTTAGAAGTGATGCAGAAAAAAGTACGAAATCAGATAGAAGGGAGAAGGTACTTGCTTGTTCTAGATGATGTATGTAGTCATGACCGGCAAAAATGGGCAGAGTTGAGGGAGCTCTTGAGTTTAGGTGATAAGGGGAGTAGGGTATTGATAACTAGCCGCTCTATGGAGGTTGCAAATGTTGTTGGTGACCATCCTATTTATGAGCTACAAGGTCTATCAGAAGAGAAATCTTGGGATTTGTTCAGGAGAATGGCATTCAAACAAGGGAAAGAGCAAGAAGACAATGATCTTGCTGTTATAGGCAAAGAAATTACAAAGAAATGTGCTAATGTTCCTCTTTCCATACGGGTGATAGGTAGTTTGTTGTATGGCCAAGATAAGAAGAATTGGCTATTTGTAAAAGGTATTGATTTGGCAAAAATGAGACATTCCAGACGATGCGATGAGAATAGGGTAATGTCAACATTGATGTTTAGCTATCATCAACTTACTAATGAGTTAAAGAGTTGTTTTGGCTTTTGCTCACTTTTCCCCAAGGATTATGCCATAGAAAAAGATGTGCTAATTAATCTGTGGTTAGCACAAGGTTATCTTTTTCCAAGTCATGAAGGTCAAAGCTTGGAAGATATAGGTGAAGAATATGTTTCAATTCTTTTGCATAGATGTTTTTTTTATGACAATGAACAAGATGAATGCGGTGAAGTTCTATCATTTAAAATGCATGATCTCTTACATGACCTTGCTTTAGAGGTTGCAGGAGCGGAGTCTTTGATGTTGACATCTAGTACTATCCATTTTGGAAAGACTATTCGTCATCTATTTACTACAAGTAATGCATATCTCAATAACTGGGTTAGTCCAAGTTATTGCTCGAATGTTACAGTGCGTACCTTATTCCAATTGTACAGTCCTCTGAAAACATCTGGGAATGTGGCTGCAATAATCTTAAATTGTAGACGATTAAGGGTATTGGATTTGCATGATTTAGCCATTGAAACCTTACCAAAACTAGGTAAGCTCTTACATTTAAGGTATCTTGATGTTTCTGGCAACAAAAACATGGAGATGCTTCCTACTTCAATTACCAAGCTTCGTAATTTACAGATATTGAAATTATGTAACTGTAGGAAGTTAAAACAGTTACCAGAGGACGTGAGCAAACTAGTAAATCTTAGGATGCTGGATTTAGACGGATGTTACAGATTGACTCATATGCCAGCAGGGATGGATAACTTGAAATGCCTTCACACGCTGACAAAGTTTGTTGTGCGCGGTGATGATTCTAACCTTGTTAAAAAGGGTGAGATCATAGACTTGAAAGATCTAGTTAACCTAAAAGGTGATCTCTGCATTGAAGTGCGAGAATTTTCTGGCAAAAACGTGCCAATTGTTACAGAAGGAGCTTATATATTGAAGAATGCACATCTTAAGGCATTACAAATAACATGTCCAAAGTGAAGTTCATGAGACATTACTGGAGGGATTGTATCCTAACCATGATCTTAGCAGGTTTGAAATGGAGGGATATCAAGGAATCAAATTGCCAACTTGGGCATCAACAATGGAAACTTTTCTTCCATGCCTTGTCAGTATCAAGCTGTCAAGTTTACATGAGTTGCAGCATCTCCCGTCAATGAGTCAACTCTGCCATTTGAAATCTCTTCAGCTTTGGAATATGCCCATGGTAGAGCATATCGAAAGCGATGCACCTTCAGCTTCAGTGTCTAAGGCCACGAAGCCAATGATGACTTTCTTTCCATCTCTTGAGGAGTTAGTGCTAGTAGAGATGCCACAGTTGAAGGGATGGAGGAGAAATTTATTATGGAAAGAGATGGAAGCAGGTGGTGGTTGTTTGATCAATGACAGAGGTAGCCAGGAACAAGCTGTAATTCTACCGTCATTTCCTCGTCTCCGTGATTTGAGTATTGGATATTGCAACAGTATGACTTACTTTCCTCCATGTCCACTTCTGAAAAAACTTGAACTTTGGGTCGTCAATGAAGCATTGACATTTTGTATGAAGGGAGGCTTCCATCCAAGTCCAATCAAGAGCACTACTGTCTCAACTTCACCATCGTCCTCCAGTTCATCAGTGCCATGCAGTCTAAGAGCTCCTATTTTATGTTTAGAGAAGCTCAACATAGATAATCCAACTATTTTTAATTCTCTGTTTGAAGAGTTTGTGCTAGGTGCTGTTCATATTCAAATAGAAGATTTTGCTCAAGTTGAAAGTATGTGGACTGTTAGGAAGGGGTTTCGAGGTTGTGAATCTTCAATTCGACACCTGAAATTAGAGTCATGTTCAGAATTGACCACTCTGTCAGGAAGCGGAATAGAGCATCTCTACAATCTGCAGTCCCTCTCAATTGAGAGATGTGATAACTTGGATTTGGAAGGGATGCCATGGTGTGATAATCTGGATTATTGGGGAGTGCCATGTATTTCTCTTGACTCCCTCTCTTCCTTGAGATTAGCTGAACTTCCGAAGCTGCTAAATCTGCCATGGAGATTTCAGTACTTGACCTCCCTTCAATCCCTCCAAATTGAAAGTTGTGGGAACTTGGAGGCCCTAGGGGATTGCATTGGCTCTCTATGTTCGCTTCGTTCCCTCCAAATTAAAAATTGTTACAATTTGAAGGCCCTTCCGGAATGCATGGACTCTCTAAAGTCCCTGGAATTGCTGCATATCAGCCATTGCCATGAACTGAAATCGTTGCCAGAAGCAATGTGTCATCTCACCTCCTTAATAACACTTAAAATACTATACGCTAGAGATGACCTCGAGAAAAGATGTCTACAGCCAGATGGGGAGGATTGGCCCAAAATACGCCATATCCCTCATGTTTATGTTATTGGATGGACAAGAAGGGCTTTCATTTACGACATGTTTGGTGAAGTATGATTTATTAAGCCTTTCTTCTGCCCTCCACCTTTTGATCTATATGTCATGTAAATGTCCAAATTCTGATTTTCGATTGTAAGTCTGGAATCTGAGTTGCTAGAAATATCATTTTCTAAAGATCATATTCGCTTTGATTTCTGTGTGATGTGTAATGTATTTACTTTTTAATATCTAACCAAAGCACGAGACTCTATTCACAGGGTGAGCATACTGAGCAGAATTAGTATAGGCGTATAGCAGAATCTTTGTTGCATGGGTTGTATGTGTCAATGTATCATGTATGTTTATAAGATTTGGTACTAACAATGATTTATTAGTATTGCTATGGAATTGAATCGTGAAATAATGATCATCCCACAGGTATATCTATTATGCTTCGCGTTAAAGTCTTGTGATAAGGCAATCACTGAGAGTAAGATAAGTGTAAATGAAGGAATAACAAGTTTGTTTACTGAACTGTCATTTCTATTTTGTATCTGCATATGCAGTATGTACTAATTATTTTAGCGAATACAATGCGAAAATGATATGTTTGATCTGTAGCACGTGTCACCTGTTGATGACTCAAATGGTGATCTATCAAACTTGTTAATTATAGCTTTAAGTTTTCAGACGATTGACTAGTATCACTGTATCACCAGATCCATCAAACGTGCTAACGATTACTTGACTTAAATCACTAATTATTATTCTCCTTAATTAAAGTTTTCGAATTTCGTGGTCTGCAGTTTGGTTATTATTATTGTATTTCGTATATGTTTAGATCCACTCTCAATTATAACCAAAGCGCTTAACAAAGGGCCACGCAGTTTATTCCCAACCAGAAAGGGAAGAAAAAACCATTTTCATAAAAACTAGTCATTGTTCCTTTTTGTTTACAACTGGCTACTAGAATGATTCTCAGTATTGCCAATACTCTGTGCAGCATTAAAAACAAGGAACTAAGAGAACTATGCTCCAGTTTTGGGAATGAATCTCAACCTGATGAGCTTCAGTACACTGTCATCTCCATCAAGGCCGTCCTCCTTGATGCAGAGTCTAAGCATCAGGAGCTCGAAGGCCTAGACTGGATTGACAAGCTCAAGGATGCTGTCTATGATGCTGATGATTTGTTCGACGAATTCATCACTATTGCACAACAACTCAAAAGAATGCCTGGTGCAAGATCTCCAAAAAGGCAAGGCATTTCTTCTCCTCTAAGAACCATCCGATTTCTGCTTTTAATGTATCTCGAGAGATTAAGAAGCTTAGGGAGATGTTAGATGGCATTACCAAAGGTTGTAGTCTATCTGGGTTTAGTGACATTTATAAACCTATCAACAGAAGAGAGGAAACGCGCCATTATGTGTATGAAAAGAGTATTATTGGGAGAGAGGCAGATAAGGAGGCCATTGTAGGTATGTTATTGCCAAAGTTTGATACTCGTAAGGAAAATGTTTCTTTTGCGACTGTTGTGGGGATGGGAGGGTTGGGGAAAACTGCTCTTGTCCAACTTGTCTTTAATGATGATAGGATTAAAGAGGCATTTGGAGACTGGATGAAGTGGGTTTGTGTGTCTGACAAGTCTAGCCTGAAAGAAATTTTTTGGTAAGATGTTTGGAGTGAAATATAGTTTTGGAAAGGCACAGAAAATAGTTAAAAGTCATATAGACAGGAAAAGGTTCTTGCTTGTTCTAGATGATGTAAGAAATGAAAATAGTGAATTATGGTTTGAATTGAAAGAGTTATTGGCTTTAGGAGAAAAGGGAAGTAGAGTCTTGATAACTAGCCGCTCTAAGAAGGTTGCAAAAGCTATAGGAAACTGTCCGATTTATGAGTTACAAGGTCTATCAGAAGACAGTTCCTGGGAATTATTCAGGAGAATGGCATTCAAACAAGGGGAAGAGCTAGAAGACCCTAATCTTGTTGACATAGGCAAAGTGATTACCAAAAAATGTGCTAATATTCCTCTCTGTATACGTGTGATAGGCAGTTTGTTATATGGCCAGGACAAAAATAATTGGCTATGGTTAAAAAGTAATGATTTTGCAAAAATGAGACTAGACGAAGAGAATGGCATTATGTCATCAGCTTTGATTTTTAGCTATAATCAACTCAGTCCCGAATCAAAGAGTTGTTTTAGCTTTTGCTCACCTTTCCCTAAGGATTATGTCATGAAAAAGGATGTAGTGGTTAATTTGTGGTTGGCACAAGGTTATCTTGTTTCAAGTCATGAAGATCAAAGCATAGGAGATGTAGGGGAAGAATATTTTTCTGTTCTCTTGCGTAGATGCTTTTTCCATGACATTGAACGGGATGAGTACGGTGAAGTTCATTCATTTAAAATGCACGATCTCATACATGACCTAGCTCAAGAGGTTGCAGGAAAGGAGTTCTTAATGTTGACATATAATACAAATCATTTCAGAGGGGGAATTCGTCATCTATCTACAGCAAGTAGTGCATTTTCCGAAAACTGGTTTAGTCTTAGTTATTGTTCGAATGTCAGATTGCGTACGTTTTTCCAATTGTACAGTTTTTATAAGACGTCTGGGGATGTGGGTGCTATTCTTTCAAATTGTAGACGTTTAAGGGTATTGGATCTGCATGATTTAGCCATTGAAACTTTACCAAATACACTAGGTAAGCTCTTACATTTAAGGTACCTTGATCTTTCTTGCAACAGAAACATGGAGATGCTTCCTACTTCGATTACCAAGCTTCATAATTTACAGATATTGAAATTATGTAGATGTGAGAAGTTAAAACAATTGCCAGAGGACATGAGCAAACTAGTTAATCTTAGGATGCTGGATTTAGATAGATGTCACAGCTTGACTCACATGCCAGCAGGGATGGATGATTTGAAATGTCTTCACACGCTGACAAAGTTTTTAGTTGGCGGCGGGGATGTTTCGAGTCGAGTTAAAAAAGGTGAACTCATAGACTTGAAAGCTCTAGTAAACCTCAAAGGCGGTCTTTGTATTGAAGTGGGAGAATTTTCTACAAAATGTAAGCCAAATGTTGTAGGAGGAGACTATATTAAAAATGCCCATCTGAAGGCTTTAGAAATAAAGTGTGAAGAATCTGATGATTGTTCTGTTCATGAGACATTGTTGGAGTGTTTGCACCCTAACCATGATCTCAGCAAGATTTTAATGGAGGGATATCAAGGTATCAAATTGCCAACTTGGGCATCATTAATGGAAGCTTCTCTTCCATGGCTTGTAAGTATCATGCTGACAGATTTGAATGAGTTGCAACATCTCCCATCACTAAGTGGACTTTGTCATCTGAAATATCTTCAACTTCTGTATCTGCTCAAGGTCGAGCACATCGAGAGTGACGCAGCTTATGCATCTGTGTTGATGACAACATTCTTCCCGTCTCTTGAGAAGTTGACTCTTTTCAAGATGCCACAGTTGAAGGGATGGTGGAGGGGTTTAAGTTGGGTTGAGATGGAAGCAGGTGGTGGTTGTTTGGTCAATGACAATGGCACTGATGTGATTCTCCCATCATTTCCTCATCTTCGTGAATTGATTGTTGGGCATTTTGCAAGAGCATGACATACTTTCCTCCATGTCCTCATTTGAAAGAGCTTGAACTATATTCCGTCAATGATGCACTGAATTTTTGTATGAAGGAAGGCTTACATAATCCAAGTCCAGTCATAAGCACAAGTAATGCCTCATCTTTGTCATCGTCCTCCCATGATCCTAGTTTATGTTTAGAGTATCTCAACATAGATAATCCAAGGGTTTTTAATACTCTATTTGAGGATTTTGTGGGAGGCGCTGTTCATATTCAGATTGATCATTTTGTTCAAGTGGAAAGTATGGGGACAGTCTCCAAGGGTTTTGAAAGATGTGAATCTTCAATTCGACACTTGACTTTGGATTCGTGCAAAGAGTTGATGACTTTGTCAGGAAGTGGGATAGAACATCTCTTCTACCTGAAATCCCTAACAATTGAGTATTGTTAGAACCTGGATTTGCAATATCTGGATTGTTGGGGGGCGCGACATATTACTCTTGTAAACCTCTCTTCCTTGAGTTTAGTTAGGCTTTTAAAGTTGGAAACTCTGCCATGGAGATTTCTTCACTTGTCATCCCTTGAATCCCTCCAAATTGAATGGAGTTACAACTTGGAGGTCCTTGGGGAATGCATCGGCTACATAACAAACCTCCGATCCCTCCAAATTGAAGGGTGTCACAATTTGAAAGCCCTTCCAGAATGCCTCAAATCTCTAACAGCTCTGAAGTTTCTGCACGTCGCTTACTGCAGTGGACTGAAATCATTGCCTGAAGCAATGTGCCACCTCACCTCCTTAACTACACTTAAAAATAATTTACTCTAGTGAAGACCTTGTGAAAAGATGCCAAAAACCAGATGGAGAAGACTGGCCTAAAGTATGCCATATCCCTAATGTTTACATTGTGGGATAGTCCGGAGGCTAAGAGCTATCATTCACAAAATGTTGGTGAAAGTTGATTAAGCCTTTCTTCAGTCCTTTGCCTTTGACAGTGTTGAAATGTTTCCTTTCAAATCTGCTGCTACTCAAGGTGATGTATGTGTGCCTGCTGATGAAAGGACAATTTGCAGTGATGCAGCAGCACTGTTGATCTTCTTTGTTCTGTCTTTTGTGTATAACTGCATTATAATATCTCACCTGGGCAAATGATTCGGAGGCAGTTAACCACCCTTCCTAAAAGTTGGTTTTCTGTCTCTCTGATGCTATTTATTTTATAGGGAGAAATTTGTATAGTAGTTAAGCTAAATATACATGAGCCCTTGCCATGATGTAGCAAAGAGGTATCAACAGACTTTAATATTCTGCCTTTTGTGTTAGGATAGGCTTCAGATGGCTGATTCAGCCAACTGATATATCTACATTACTACATCAGGTTGTGAAACTACTATCAGAACAACGATTTATTATATCTCACTATTATAGAGTAGTGTAATAATACTGAGAATTTTGTAGTGCGCTAAAATTAGCAAGCTGCTGTCACTGAGGTTATTATGACAGTGAGCTTCAGTTGCTGCATTACATGATAATCATGTTTGTTTTCTGGATTCCAATACTATTCTCCATATTTTTCCTCCGTTTGACTATCGCCACTTACTCTACACTTTTTATCAGTTATAGGTTTTTTACTGTGGCCTCAATTATCAACTTTCATGTGGAAATTTAGTATTTCCTGTGACATACAAAGTGATAAAAAAAATGTCACTTCAATTTGCTGTAAATTGTGCTTGTAACTAAAAATATCCTGAAAATTCTTTTAAATCTTCAGATGATGAAGAGTTAAAGCAATGCTTCCTTGACTGAGCATCAAGTTGGATTGTTTCCAAGATCGGTAAAGCTCTTTTTTTCTTACATGTAAGAAAGCTGCTCTAGTTAAATTTGTTGCATCAACTGAAGATACTTCGATTTTGTTAGTATCCAAAATTCTGATTCAGGCAGCAGCTACTCATGCATCAGCTCAAAATTGCTTTTGTTATGTACTTAAAATACTGAGTATATATAATGTACTCAGAAATTTTGTCAATCAGTCACTTGAAGACCTACCAGAAGTTAAAGGACCATATTCCTCCACGTGGCAATACATCCTCCAAAACTTATCTATCCAAACTCCCATAAAACAAAAAAAAAAAAAAAATAATAGCAAATGATTCATCAATATTGCCAGATAGGTGCTGGATTTATCCATCAACCCAAAAATCAAAGTAGTCAGAGTATGAGTTTAAGTATGAGTATGAGTATGAGTATGAGTATGAGCATGATTAGAGCATCAACAACATCATCAGTAAGTGGCACTAAAATCCCAAGATTCCCAACAATGCAAGAAATAATTGAAACTTCAAAAGGCAGAAATCTGGATTTAAAGCTGCAAAAAGTGGGACCCTTTTTCAGAATTACAGCAAAAAGCTTGGAGACAAATAAAGAGTTAGGAAGAGCTGAAGGACTGATAAGGGTCTGGTTTGATGGCAAAATTCTGCACTTGGATTCCATTAGATTGAATAGAGAGACTTTGAGTATGCAGAAATCTATTTTTGGTGTTGGATTGTTCCTTGGTGCTCTTGCTGTTAGGCATGGTTTCGATTCTGGTTGCGCCACTGCTCAGTTGCTGGCTATCAATGACACTGATCTTTACCATTCAAAGGTTTTTCTTTCTCCTTTCTTTATGCTCAACTTTTGTTCTTTCATAAATGTCCTCTTTCTTTGAGTTCATCTCAAGGATAGAGTATTGTACGTGTATTCAACGGAGGAGATAGTAGTGTTACGCGAGCATATAGGAGGAATGTTAGGCATTTCCGTTTATTTCATTCCATAATCCTTACTATTAGTGCTAAAAAAAAAGTGACCATTGTTGTGTTTTTGACAATAATTTCAGCAAATTAATAAACATTATTTGTCTCCTTGTGCAGCTGGTAAGGTTTTATAGTAGAATGGGATTCAAGGTTGTGCATGAAGTGGATGGCTCGTCAATTGGAGATCTTGCACACATGCTAGTCTGGGGAGGCAAAGGAACAAAAATGAATGCTGATATTAAAGATCTTCTTACGAAATGGTGCACCATATTCAAACCAAGAGATTCAAGGGCAGAAAGACAAGAAGCATGAAAAATAACACAATTAAACATATGATTTGAAACAACAGAGTTTGAAGCAATATAAAAAGAATACAATTAATGGAGATTCTGTGTAGCATACTATGGCGTACAAAAAATACATACATTTCCATCAAACAGACCAACAGATGATTGGATGCTACTCACGGTTTCAGTGCAAGTGATATGCCAAGTTTTGGATTTGTGTCGATAGAATTGTAATCAATCTCAGCTGCCATTGTCAGTACTGACTTAGGGTTGAACTCGTGTTGCAGAAGTGCTCCGAAGCTCCCCTGGTTATTAAGCTTCAGCTTGATTAGAGTTAATTCATCAACAGCATATGATCCTCCAACAGTTAAAGTATTTCCTTCTTCAGAAAACCTGTTTTTAAACTCAACTACTGTAGTGGTTTTCCCTTGATCAAGGTACCATACATATGACGCCCTAAGTAGGTCACCCTTTTCAGCCCTGGAATACATGGCAAGATCAGGAAAAGAGTACAAATCTATCTTAACTTGGATACTGCATGATGAACACGCCCCCCCCCCCCCCCCCCCAAAAAAAAAAAAAAAAGGGAAGGAAAGAAAGAGAAACATGTGATATTAATCAAGCATTGTTTATGCAAAGCACAAATATTTACAGAATTAACACAATAATATATAATTTCGCTTAAGCCTGTTGAGAAAAATATATCTTGTACTGTTCATCTTCTCTTATTTTGTTCAATAGTCTTATTTTGAAAAGCTGTCATTTATGTTATGTTCAGAAACATTTAACAGCAACATCACCTGCAAACTAAACATTAAGCAGCAATAACACCTGCGCTATAACAGATGCAAGGAAAGAGACTTACAAGATAACAGATGTACAGGAACCTGGTTTTGTCATGCTTATGCCAACATCGTACTTCGTAAAATCAGAAATAGAAGAATCATAACCTGCCTCTGCACCAATCACAGTGCTTGAAGTGCCACAGGTGGCTGAAAAACCGAAAACAGGGGACTTGTTGAAGGAAACAACTGAACTAAGTGCTGCAAGTTTATGGAAGTACTGAAGCTCAAGCTGCCACGAGAACAATATACCACAAGTAATTCAGCTGTAATGAGCAAAAACTTAGAGAAATGTGAAGTTAAAGTAGACTAATGTTGCAGCTTTCTTTTACCAAATAGGATCCAACTTTGCAATGATACAAAGTAGGAAGCATATTATCACAAAAGGCTTAAAATGCCAAAATATATATAGCTTATACTTTTGCTTGAATTTTAAGAAAAAGATGAAGCTGATGAACAATTTCTTAGTTCAACAAGTGATGAAAGAATATGATAGTTCCTCGGTAAGAATGACCATTTCAAACAGATGACTGGATGAGAGCAAACATGCGTTTGCAATAGATTACAAAAAATTAAAAATCTCACTTGAAACATAAACCTTATTTTCCCTTACTTTACCATTTTTAACATAGCTAATTAGATTGTATAAGTAGCACACCTTTAAGAGCCTGCATATCAGTAAGTCCTCGAGATCAAAGCGTCAAACAAGCTGATAAGTCAGCTTTTACAAGCAAGTCAGAAAGTGGATCTATCTTTAACTCATCTAAATCCATTAAAAATTGAGTTACCATACAAGACTAACAAGAGTCTCATTCTCATCATTCTGCAACATAGTTCCTTCGATTCTTCAAGTCCCTTCAGAGAATAAAAACATATGAACACCACTGAACTTTCTTTTTTGATAATCAATGCTCAAATAGCAAAGAAAAGAAACTCAAGAGTGCAAGGATTTGGCTTCCATTCAGGCCACTGATGGATCAAAGCTGACAAATAACTTCAGATAGATCTCTCATGCCTCCAACCGTGAAGTTTGTCATTCGTAATCAAGTTCCTCCAGCATCAAAATTCATCATCCCCTAGGCAATTAGGCATAAGCCCTAGAATGAGATGATTTACAAGGCCTTCCTTACTCGCTACAAGGACAGATTGGTATTATTTGCTTGATGTGGATACACTCATCACATTTTTAGAAGGCATTCACCAAGACTGAATGGTTAATTGACAGTATCCTTCTAATGACAGGCAATGACATGATTTAAACATGAATCCTGAGTTCCTTGTATGCGTTGCAAAAATTTTATATAATGAAATGACGTGATTAAGCAGATTATAGAAGATGTACCTTTGCAGAGTTGTAGTCAGGTAGCTTAATTGAAGCTATAGACTTAAGAGATGGCATAATATCATTCAAAGTAAGGGTTGTAGCTATCTGTAAGAAAACAATAAAACAACAGGTTAAAAAGTTTTCTTTAAAACCCAACTATTTCGAGATGAAAAAAAGAACATTGCCAAAAAAAAAAACCTACAGTTGACTGTGTATCAACTTTGACATCAATGATCGCATTCTGGTATTTGAATTGTGCAGCCAGATCACCAACTGAGTGACCTTCCTTTTGTAGAGTACTTGAAGTAAGGGCCTTCAGACAAAGAAGACATCATTTTCAGAATTCAGAATTGTCAAACAGTATCTCATATACGTGGAAAGAAATACACAAATCAAAGATACAAACTACACCAAGATCTTAATTAAGAGGCACACAAAGCTGTCAAATTCTTCAGATATAAGAAACCAGTACAAAGGGTAAGATAGAAGGCAAAATATTCTAAACTTCTCAACTATCTGAAGCTGGTATACATCCAGACCACAGAGAGATTGCGCGTCTTAAATTAATTATGTAAAGCCAGTAATATAAATATCCAATGATCACATAGAATGATGCAAAATCTAAGGCATTTATCACCAAACCAAACAATTTGTGTTTGAATCAGCCACTTACTATCAAATTTTTCAGAGCAATTATTTCCACCAAATCAAAATTCTTTACTGTGCATTCAAGAATGTGGCACATGAAAGTTGAACTAAATGGAAACTGATGAAGCAAGTTCACAGTTCATGGCAGACAAGGGTTTAGGGTTAAAATCAAGTATTCTGTTAAAGGGAATGCCACAAAATTCGGCACGGTTATTGGTTAAATTCTTTTGCAAGTGTTTATGGAAAGTAGACAGCTCCAAATTGAAGCTCCCAGCATACCAAAATTGATTCTTTACAATACTTGATCATGAAAGGGTCCAAAGACTGAATTTTTTTTCCAAAAAATCAAGTCAATGTTTCAAAAAAAGTCTGTCTATGATTAAAATTGCAATTTAAGCTTCAAGACTTGGACAAACAAATCCAAGAATAACCCACTAACATTGCAATTGGCAAATAAGACATAAAAATTAAAGAGAAAAAGAAGGGATAATACAAGTCCATCCTGAGTCTGAGTAGTGACACTGAAATTCATATCACAGCAGTAATCCTTGTACAGAACATCTGCAGAAATTACAATTGGATAACCCCAGAAATTCAAATTAAAAATGAAACAGAAATTGAATTGACAAAAAGAAAAGAAGGGGGTACCTCTTGCTCTTTTACCGATGTCTCGGAAGAGAGATGGTCCTCCTTTGCTCATAATTCTGGGATTTATGTGTCTGATATTTGAATAACCGGGAAATAGAGGTGGTGGATGCGGCGGCGTAAGATGAGTGGTGGGCCACCTGTTCAGAACTGGCTAGCTGGAGAGAATTCTACACAACTTACAAGTTACAACGATTCTTTTTTTCCCCTCACAAGCTTCGCGCCTTTTGTTTTTCTTTAGTTGGTCAATCTTTATAATACTAGTGGAAGATTTTGGCCCTGTTTGGTAATTAGCTGGTAACTGATTATATTAGCTGATTTAACTAGCAGATTATATTAGCTGGTTTGACTAGTTGGTTATAATTAGTTGATTGTGTAAAAGTGTTTGGTAAATAGTTGTTAATTGTCAGTTGTTTTAGTTTATTTAAAAGCCAAAAAGCTAATTGTTCAATAAGCTAATTTTAAAAAGCTCTTATAATAAGCTTTTTCTAAAAGAGTTTTTTAGCCCAAAAAACCCTTTTAATAAGCTATTTACCAAACACCCAAAGTAGCTTTTTTAATTGGTCAAACCTCTAATTGGACAAAATAAGCTAAAAGCACTTTACCAAACAAGACCTTTATTTGTTTAATGGAACTCAATAGTTCAAGGTGATGTCACGGGTTGTTATTTTTTACATTAATCGATGTTTTTATTTATTTTTAATAAATTTGTAGGTAGCTGTATCTTTTGTTATTATGAGCAAATAAGGCTGGAATGATTTGAAGTCAAATTATTTTGATAATCATGGGCATAACACTTGCTAATAAAAGTCGAATGAATTTGATAAACCCGGCTTTTCGGTAAACGATCAATATAACTTTATAGCATCACTGGTCGGTTGAATTCATTATGAAAATCATTCTGATCACCTGTTTTCATTATTTGTGCCAGTGATTTTTATGAAACGGTTCCATAACATTATTCATTATACATCTTTGAAAAGAAATAATCAAGGTACAATAAACAAGAAAGAATGGTCATTAGTAGTGAAAAAAAACTCGGAATCATCTCCTATCTATCACAAATTCCCTCCCAGAACTTGATAAGATATTAACGTCTTTAATATCTCTTAACCCCAGGACAGGACTGTATATACATATCAAGTGCAGATCACTCAAGTAATTCGGCAAAGAGTATGAGCAGCTTCTGGTTAGCTTGACAGTCACATATCTACAGGCAACAAATTTTGAGTGGTTCCATCACCGGATGGTCTTACATTAATGAAGCTCTAGTGAAGGCTGCAAATTTTGAGTGGTCATCTTGAAGCAGAATCTGTGGATTTCCTTGTTCGACCTTGGATCAAATTTTAAAATAATTAGAATCAAGAAAAATGTCAAAGAAGAAACTTCTGCAATTTCACACAGCAGTCAAAAAGGATAAAATAACATTGAGAATGTCAGATGCCTATGAGCTACATTACTGAACTAAAGGACTATAAGGGCTGCCATAAATTTATAAATTGTGCATACCTAACTGCCATTTAGTGTATGGTAAAATTAGGAAAATGATGAACTGTGTATGATTTATTAGATGTCTAGGGTGAAGGTGAACATACCAGAGTTCCTTTCTCAAGAACAAATATATTATCCATGCTCAGCACAGTTGAAATCCGATGAGCAATGGTGATTACGGTCATTCCTTGGCATGCATTAGATATGACATTTTGTAGTAATGAAGCTGTTCGTATATCAATATTAGCTGTGCATTCATCTAAGAACATCACCTGAAATATCATAAACCATTATCCAATCATGTTAATTGACTGGTATGTTTCATCTTCCAAACATTAACTTGGTTACTAAGTTCCTGGTTGACATGATGCAGAAAACTAACACTAATATGATTATAATCATAAAACATAATAACAGCATGTGTTTCAAATATTCAAACTACTTTTGATAATACTTGATGCAGCCAACCTTGGAAGACTTCAAAAGTGCTCGTGCAAGGCAAAGAAGTTGCCGTTGGCCAACAGAAAATGATGCTTCAGACTCTTTTATTTGCATATCCAGCCCACCTACTGCTTCTATCTCTTCCTTGATGCGACATTTCTCTAAAACTTCCCAGAGTTTCATGTCATCATTCAATCGGAAAGGATCTAAATTTTCCCTAAAAATAAAATATAAATAAATAAATAAACTAAAAACAATGAACATTTCAAGCCACTTGAAGCAATTAAGGCAATTGCATCAGAAATATGGATTTTGCAGACATGGCAAGTACAAAGCACATTTATGCATACTTTGTATTAACTTGGGGTTGACATAATACATAACCTAGATCAGTCAGAAATATAGCAAAGCTCTTATTTGAAAACTCCAATTAAACTTTACCTCACAGATCCTTGAAATAAGAAAGGACTTTGGGGGACAACAGCAAATCTTGAGCGAAGATCTCTAACAGAAACAAGATCTATGTTTACATCATCAACTAATATACATCCTCCGCATATTGGGCTCAGACGGAAAAGGGCGTTAACAATGCTAGATTTTCCAGCACCAGTCCTTCCAACAATTCCAACCTGCTCAACAGTCACAAACTTGTCAATTTTAACACATAGATGATAGGAAAAGCTAACTTTGTGCACAATAAGCACAAAACAAATATGAAAGAGGAAGAGAAGGCTTGCCTGTGTTCCACCTGCAATGGTAAATGATATGTCACACAATGCTGGAGGAAGAGAAGGCAAATATCTGAGAATCACATTCTGAAACTCAATCTGTCCTTGATAAGGCCAATCTCTAGGTGTGGCTATAGATCCACAAAGTTCTTCTTGAGGAATGTCCATATACTAGCAATTCAAGAGTAATTATATACATAAATTCATGGCACCGATAAACTTTATTCAGAAAAGAATGGGTTGATCGAGGATTTGATGATGGGTTGAAGTACCCACATCAACAGCTAAAGAGTCTCGATGGTATAACATCTTACCTGGACAACCCTTTCAACAGCAACCATTTCCTTTTCTGTCTCAGTGAAGCTAGATAAGAAACTTCCCAGCAGAGAAACAATTGGAGCAGCATAAGACAGAGCCAAGCCAACCTGTAAACGAAAAGAAGTTTATATAGTTTAGATTAGCTTATAAACAGTACAGTACAGTACAGTACATAGGTTAAACATAGGTGAAAGCTTACCAGCCCAGATGTGCCCATACTAACAGGGAACTTGTCAAAAGATCCAATAATAGCCATAAGGGCTATAAATGAGATGAGAAATGCTGCCAACAACTGAAATATGAAATGGCTAATGCATGAGAGCTGAGAAGATGTGGACTTAGAAAAATATAATGAATATAATTGTCTTTTTATCAGTTGTAATTATCAGCTAAAAAGTAAAAACTAAAGGTAAATAATACCCAGCATATATAGAGCATAAGTCATTCTTAAATCACCCGAGAGAAAGAGAGAGAGAGAGAGAGAGAGCATTCTACAATTAACAATAAGTCTGAAGCAAGAAGATTTAACGAGCACTGAGAAAGACCTGAAGTCGCAGGGAAAGCCACAAACTGGCTGTTATTTCAGTGTACGAGGTTCTCTGATACATCTCTACATAACTGGTGAATTTTGAGAAGAAAAATTCCTGCAACCATAGCATTAAGGTTATGTCTCTGAAATACTAAGAAAAAAATAAATATAAAAACTTCCTCATAAGACATTACTCCCCTTGTCCCATAGGCCACTTATAATATGATTCAATAAATTGATTTTTCAAAAATCTGAAGACTAACTAGTTAATTACTAGTTTATTAGTTGACTCTTCCACATAAACAAAGAGAACAAAAGAACAGCACATAGACATAGTGAATTAATCCACCAATTGTTAATTATGTTTTACCCTTTCGGTGCAGTACCTAACTTAAAGTGGTGCAAGGCACCTTGCTCCTCATCTTAAGATCCAGCAAGAAATTTACAAAAGCCGTAAACATATCATTTTTTTAAGGTAAAGATTACATAATTCTACCTTCCAAAAATAGCTGCAAAGTAGTCAACTAAAAAAACTCGAAATTCAAAGAGATAACTCTTTATGAAATAACATATATTAGGCAATAATGAGCAAAAATCATATAAACACAAAGTAGTACTCACTTTCACTCAAAAAGACCACTTAAAAATTAAAGTATATTGTTCACTCAATTAATACACTAGAATGCAATGGTAGAATGACCCCATCATAATAGTTTTGAAAAATGAGAAAATGGACTGCTAAACATGTTTGCAACAAGCACTATTTTGCTCTTCACCCAATTGATTTCTGCAAATAGTCGCGACTAATGTAGTACCTCTGACTTAAATGACCTTATGGTTGAAGATCCATCTAGCGTCTCAGTGAATGATGCATATATTGGGGAGCGTGAAACACTATCTAGCCTGCGCAGTTCACGTGATGTTGATCTGTAATAAAACTGAAGAGTATAGATCATAACATAATTCAGAAAATAATGTAATCTAAGTGCTTGCTCAGTGGAAGAACAAAATAAGTACTATCAACAAATTAATGGTTTCCCAAACACCATTATATTCAAAAGTATATGATAAGCATGCATCATACAAGTTCTAAATAAAATCAAGAAAAGTAACTTGAACCCTTTGTCCCAACAAGTTCTACCCTAAGAAGTTAAAACTTGTATGCTGCTTTGAAGATGTCTGGAGCATTATAGCAGCTTCCCCCGCTCTGCAGCATAATGCAAGTCAGTGGGAGCAGGAAGCTAATCTTATCTGGGAATTGGAAGATGGAAGCAAAAAATAGTACTAGGCTGGAATCACCTTTTTGTTAGAGAAAGCTCACAAAGGTTTTCATGTTGGCACGGCATCTTATATTCTACAGTGACAAAATCAAAGCATTGAACATGGAAGATGGCCAAATTCAGCATGATAAAGTATGCTAAATCAAAGGTACAGGAACAGGATTAAGGAGAAATTACCTCCATTACCCTCAAAAAAAATTTAAGATCAATGAAATTCAACCTAAAGCTTCTGCTTTCTCTAACTAAATATTCCATAATGGGTCATGGAAACAATTGGAAATCAACTATAGGATGGAAATAAAGCCATACCTTGAATTTTAACAACAAAATTTTCAAAAAAGCTAGTATTCTTAGGAATATAGAAGTAAGGAGCATGAGAATACCTGCAGCTTCTTGTAGATATACCAAAAGGGCAATAGCAAAAGCAGTAAAATAATCTGCAGAAGTGCATAAATCAGGTTAGGGAGTAAAATTTCAATAAAATATGTACTATTTAAAAGAAAAATTATCTCCAAACAATAAGCCAAACCATTAGTTAAGTCACCTGCACATATGACAAGACTATTGCAACCCCCAAGAGGCCAACAAAGTTGGCAAGGAGAATGTTGAATATGAATGGAAGAGAATCGTCTATTGTATAAAGATCTGAAGACAACCTACAAAAGAAAGCATGTGAATATACAGTTACTGATATCTAGAGACTCGCAACAAGGATCAAATATTCAAATCACACCTATTGATAATCCTTCCACGAGGAGTCCGGTCAAAGAAAAGCACGGGTGAGTTGACAAGATTATTAAGTAGTGAATCATGAACCTGCATAGCTGCTCGCAAACCACCAAATGCAAATGAAAAAGCCCTCACCAATGTCAAGACAGAGTTCAATATGCAGAAAACACTCAGTATAACCTGAAATTTTGAACAAAAAATTAGGTAATGTCATCAAAATATTATGCAAAGCATATAAGTCATAACCATGTTGAGTAGTCATTAAAGTTAGCAAGTATTTCATTCCTCCTGGTAGCCAAGGGTGCTCCAAGCACCAGCTTTAGCTATGCATATTATAGTAAACCTAGGGCCATTATACACTGTTTGCGATTTTCCAATGCTGTTTTTCTAAGATTGACAATTTCAAAGTTAGCGCGCAGGTAAATACAGAATAAAGTTGAGCCCAAGAATTAAAAGCAGCTGAATTCTATCATTGATTTATACATGCCATTTTCTTACATAATGTTCAGATTTTCAAAAAAAAAAAAAAAAATGACGGATTAAAGGGTGAGAACAGAGGTACAATTGAAACATTACACAAGATGAATTCTATTTTTTTTAAAAATGAAGCAAGTACCAGATAGAAGGTTAATGAATAATGTGTTCTGTCATTTCCTTTAGTTGTATCAACCCAATATGATAGCCAAAGATCATTTCCGTTACGTGAAACTTGCATCATAGCAGCAGATATCAGTATCAGGGAAGCAAGAAACCAGCCAGAAAAGGCAGCATATTTTCTGCAGAAATTTTAAGCCCAGTAAAAAAAAAGAAAAAATATTAGGACAAACAGTCCAGAACATCATACATGTCAGTAGATAGTTTAATTTAATTAAAAAAAAAATGAAAAAGAAACTGGGGACTGGGGTATCTGTTGACCTGTATACAGCCAGCTCCACATTGCCCTCTTTCCTCTCCTCAAGTTCAACGGTCTCCTCTGCTTCAGAAGAAATCTGGATACATTCTTTCTCTTCGCTAGAGTTTCCGTTAACTTCACAAATAGACTCTACATTCTTTTCTTGATTTTGTACAGGCAGCAATGGACTCAATGCTGTATGTGCAGAAAACTCAGAACATGATGCTAAATCTGCTGGGCTTCCTACCAGCTTTACACAGCCTTTACTCATATATACCACTATATCTGCAGATAGTATGGCCTGAGGAGAAAAAATTTAAAAATTAAAATTTAATAAAAAATTGTCACGTTAGAATATGGTCTGATTTCCATTGCTTCTCCATTTACATAAATATTAAAACCTTGAGTTTAAGATTAAAAAATATAATAAAACTTATTACTCATAGTAAATATTTACGTCAGCAAATCCTACTTATCCTGGCAGGTACATGGGAGACTGAATTGATGAAGAAAACAGCAAGAAAAACATGATTACTGAAAACTGAAAAGTTCCAAATAAAATGTCAATTAAAGGACAATACAAGTCACAAGTTTGGGTTGTTACTTGTTAGCAACAGGGGGAAAATATTAATATTACATTGCATGAAAAAGGGGTGATAATTAACATCTTTACCTCATAAAGGATTAATACTTGCATGTTAAATCTTAACAATTCACTGCTAGTTGGCAAACATAACTTTAGAAAGGAAAAAACAAAGGGAATAACACTGCATAGGAAAGATATACCAGTGTTGGAGATGGACACCGCCTATAGGTTGTCCCTATAAATTGAGGGGCAACCTGGGGGTAAGGGGTGCAGGCAAGGGAGAGAAGGGTGGAAAAAAGATGTACAAACTACAAAGACAGCCATGTAATAGTCATGACTCAAGAGGCCTTTTCTGTCAGGAATTAAACCAAGGTCATTCCTTTACATTAAATTGTTGTGGCAGATTTTCAACTTGCTGTTCAAGTAAAAATAGTTGTGTATATTTGTTTACAAATCATTCCATAGCATCAGTTATAGACCATTATATTACAGTGTTACCATATCAGCAGTTAGAATACACTAATAAATCTGTTTAGCATAGTGATGCTACCAGATTCACATATAAGAACATTTTACACCTATATTCCAATCACTATAAGTCAAGAAGTGTTTGGACTTATTCTAATATAACAAACTAAGGAAAATAACTAAATAAGGTTATACAGAATACATTTTCATCTATAATAAAAAATTCTTTGTTACAAAAGTCTTGAATTACAATTATTAAACTAATGTTTCCCAACGAGCCAAAGAAATAAAAAATAAATGTTGCCTCTGAAAACACAATTGTAAATGCAATATGACCAAATATTAATCTCTTTTTGTAGTCTTATTAAGATTTCAGTAGTAAAAAAGAATTGAACACCAGCTGATTTACTGAATACGGAATTGAAGATAGTTCAGAGAAAAGTGATTCGGTGATTCTGCTAATGGTCAGTCATAGTTGAAAGTTCAACTGTTAAGTAATGAGTAATCTATTCTGATACCCTTCTTCTACAGAATAATAAATTCGATAAGCACAATTATGATGCACCCAACTTTACCACACCAAGCAACCTTACCAAAAAATCATGATTCATGAGTAGTCAAGAACAGTTGTTTATAATTAAAGAAGAAACATAAAGCAATCAGTAATAAAATCTTGGAAAGAGAGCTGAATATAATTACCTGAATATTATGTGTACAAAGAACACAGGTTTGCTGGTTCATAAGAGGACCATGGATGACATTATCTAATATAGATCGGGCAACTTGCGCATCAACAGCACTTAGGACATCATCAAGCAACAATATATCTGACATATGATAGATAGCCCTGCCAATTGTGGGAACTTTATGAGGAAATAACTGGGCATGCATAGGGATGCCCAACTTGGGCATGATATAGTGATATAAAGTTCCAGTACAAAAATAAAGTGAGCAAAATATTCACCTTGCCAAAGCTATGCGGACCCTTTGTCCACCAGATAAATTGGCCCCTTTGTCTCCCACATAAGCCATATCACCTCCAGGCATCAATGAAATATCAACATCCAGAGCACAAGCTCTGAGCACTTCTGCATACCTTACAGCAAAAGACAAAATCTGATTATTTTCGCCACTAAGAACCTGCTTGGCATAAATAATAAGCTTAAATTTATGATACTTGTGGAGTAAGAGAGCAGGAGAAAACATGAACTTGCACCAATTTTTCAGAGTAATTGGACAGAGAGGGAGTGGTAAACTGCAAAATATTAGATAATCATATCAGTTAAGTTTATACCTTTCTGAAACATGTTCCTTCCCTAAGAGTATGTTCTCACGTATAGTACCAGAAAGAATCCAAGGCACCTGTGAATTCCAAGATTGGTTTACCAAAAAAGAATAACGACATATTCAAAGAGGAAATAAATCCTTTTTCTTATGTTAAACCTGTGGCACGTATGCTGTAGAACCATTTAAATGTGCCCATCCCTCAATGATATTCATTTCTCCTAGCATTGAATTCAACAGGGAAGATTTGCCAGAGCCAACCTGTTACATATAATCAGAGTGAAATGGATCTTAATGAAGAGGTGTTCTCATCAAAAAAAAATATCAGCAGTATGGAGCTAGAAAAAATAATTGTCCAAATAGGTAGGCCTTAGAATGAGTAGAGTAGCTCAAGCAACCAACTCAGTACATCTTTGGGCCTAGGCTTTGAGAAACTTAGCATTGTGCAGTACAAACCAAACATGAGCTTAACTTTACACTTCATTCTAGTTCATTTGGAAAAAAATGTGTTCAGATGACCTAACTACTTGTATAAATGGCCTTTGAATTCAGCTTTTCAAGGCAAACAGAAGCAAATCTGCAATGTTTCGGACAATTCTGACAAGTGATGCAAAAGACAAGAATTACTGAACAAGTGAACAGAATCACAATATCTCATGTCTATAGTTACCTCTCCGACGATCACTACAAAAGAATCTTTCGGAAGACTAAGATTCACATTATCCAGCCTGAAACTGTCCTTTATAATATGTTCATTTGACCATGAAAAGGATGCATCATGAAATGTAATAGCCCTATCTTCTAAGGAATCATCAATATGGACACTCATACAAGTTGGATACAGAAGAGAACTCTTTTCCCGGCTTAGACTATGTTCAGGGCAAGCAAGGAACCTGCTCAACCTCCTTGTAGATATAAAGGCCTAGAAAAATTTAGGAAAACACATCAGTCACCAACTAGCGAAATCTTAGGGAGTTGGCATTTTAGGGACAATGGCACAGAAAACTTACGTCAACCAATCCATTGATCACCCACGGAAATGAATTCAGAGGGGAAATCAAAGTATTAAAAAGAGCCACGCAAGTGAATACCTGGAAGAGGGATAACCAAGACACGCACATGTCATACCAAAGTTATGAATTATTTTATTAAAATTTGAAAAAGCTACACAAGTTGCTGAACTTCTCATTTTAGTGCCCAATTTCAGTTGACAATATCACATATTATTAGCCAAAAGCCTGTGGTATTTTATACAAAATATTTCAGAGTAGCTTCCAACCCCTTACATTTCCAAGAGGTTGGGTGTGTATATGAGAATCAATAAATTTTATTTGACTTCTCCAATTAACTACGGGACAACTGAGTGATGTTCTAAAAATAAACTATAAAATCCAGCTGGCTTACTGTTGGAAAATAAGCGGGGGGGGGGAAGAGAGAGAGAGAGAAATGCAGCCTCTTTTAACTACAAATCATACCGTAGCAGCGTCAAGCTGATGCCCCATTAATGTGTAGAGTCCAAACGTACATAACGAGAAAAGAGTAGGTGTTGTAGCCCAGAAGAATACACACCAAGCATCAAGATACTTTCGCATCTAATATAGTGAACAACATAAGAATGGTTATCAAACATAAAAAGTTCCTAAAAGGAGCAGCAGCATTATAATTCTACATACAGATAAATTTGCAACTTCGGAACGTCTAGTCTCCATCACCCAGTTTTTGAAGAGAATTTCCCAGCAGTACATTTTCAATGTACGAATATAAGTTAAAAGTTCGCCTGTCCTCCTAATCCTGCGTGGACAAGGAAAATACAACTTCAAACCAACCATACATGTATGGTGTAAAGCATCTTATACCGTGATCAAGTTTAATTCTCTTTCTCTTTCTGCTGTGATTCATTAGACATGACTTCATTCTCAAAAAATAAAAAATAAATAAACTTGATAGACTTGGCTCTGACACTGGCACAAGAGGGCCATCCAATCAAAGTATAAATGACTGGAAGATGATTGAGCTTCTAGTTTCTTTTACATTCCCTCTGTCCCCACAAAAAAGCCACATTTCTATATTAAACCAGCCCAAAATAATATGTTGCTTTCTAAATTTAGTAATTTGACTTTGAACTTTCACATACCCCAAATGTTGCGGAGATGTACAAATTTGAATAGTGAAGGATAGCTACGATACTCAAACTCATTTTCTTATAATTGGTTCTCGATAACATGTGGCCTATGGCTTAGAAATGGAAGGGTCAACATATTGCAAAACAAAACAAAACAAATCTACTTACCTCTCATCTTTCTGCTTCATCATTTTGTCAGTGGCACTAGCTATTAGTTTGGCAATCCATTTATTAACTGCAATTCAGACTCAAAATATCTTAGTATGGTTGAGAACAAAAAGGAAATGAAATGAAGTACTGAAACAAAACAAACTGTAAACCCTGCAGCAGACTACCCCTTTCTTGAAAAGATCCTTGACACCAAGGATCAAAATTTGGAATTTCATCTCAAAAACAGTAGCATTTCCCATATGACTTCCTCAGGGGTAAGATTTTCCATTGCAAGAACAAGTGTACCGCAGCCTGTGCTACTTAACCATTCTACCCCTGCTGATTACAACTCAGATTTTTCCTCCCTCCTTTCAACTACCATACTGTGAATTAAATCACCATAATACGGATGATTCTAAGGAGATGAAAATGATTATTTTGACTAATAAGCTTACGAACTGGAAAAAGAAAGCAGAAATTGAAGATGAAATTTGCATTAAACTCTGAAAATAAGAAGGATAGCTGGATAGTACAAGCTTTCAAGAGGCTTGTTCTCTCCCTAGACAACATTTAAAAGGTTGGACCTCTCCAAAATGTTTTCACTCTAACAATATTCAACATGCCCTTTCCTTATACTAACTCTGTTGACTACTAAAAGAATAATATTAGACCTTCCCCTAGGTCGGTTCATTACCAACTGTCATAATTGTAAACCCTATACCAGGTCCTGTGCTTGTATCAGCAAGTTAATATAGGTTTTTACAGGGAGAACAATCAGTCTAAAATAATGCTTTCAAAATTTCTTCTCGTGGCAGTCTCGTGCAGTTACAAAATGTAACCAGTAAGCCACGACAAATTCTATGGGGCAGTAGAAGCTTCCACTGAAGAGTATGCATGACTTTGACACTGAATTATCATTCGTCAATTAAGCATAAAACTACACCTATATAAGATAAAATCATTCCAAATCCTACGCCAGTTAACCTTCTAGAGAAACATGTCTTAAAGAGATACTGACCTGGTATAAGCAAGACTGTAATAGTGATGCCGGCAACAAAAGCAAAGCTAACTTGAGTATACAGGAGATAGAGTGCAATCCCAATTTGTAAAGGCAAGCTGCAATTACAATACAAAGGTATGAAGGACCAAGTGAGATCATCTTGTGGAAAACACAAAAGAACAAAACAAATTTAAATGGAAACTCAATAATTCTTATTCTTTATCTTTTACAAGATGCAAATCAGCTACAATCATACTCACCGCCATCTATTTCTCTACTCAAATAAGAAAAACGAAAACTTAATAAATTCCACTTCATTCCATCCCTTTACAAGTAGTTTGCAGCTTACTAGATGATCCCTTTTTCTCCTCAGCTATACTTAGAAACAAGAATCTCCATACCTAATTCTAATACCAGATAGATCCCTTAACGTACTTACCAGGCTAGCATGCAGCATCAAAAGACTCTAAGCTTCTTCACTTGTACAACAACAACAAAGCCATAGTCCCAAAATGATTTGGGGTCGGCTAACATGAATCATCATAAGGGACCGTACGATATAAAAAAAAGGGACAAGTTCACCTTAATGGGTGTGCATGATAGTAGAAAAACAATCATTTCCCAAAATAATAACTTTAAGTTAGAAGATATCAAAAGCTGAACATAGCTAGAAATAGCTTTCCACATGACCAAAGAGACGGATTTTGAGGTTGACAAAGCTAAATACCCTATAGAAAATCAATCTTATGACTCTTATCCAGGGAATGAAGCCATTCATGATCAATACTACCTCCAAATATCATGAAAACTGTTACACAAGTTAACAGTTCGATCAGCATCCACAGACATAAATGTCTGAATTTCCCCTTCAGAAAAGTTTGTTTTCTCTGCTAGACTGACAGAGAGGCACTGCAAATACAAATCAAATATATTAATGTGGAATTATGAGTCATATCATGATGACTGAGAAAATTAAACTGCTCCATCCCCTTTCTAAATTATGTTTCCAGTAGTAGTAAGTTATATATCCATTCCAAAGTACACATCTTCTGATACATTGTATATGTACTATGTAATCACTCAAGGCATCTATTATTCTGTCATCTAAATCACATGATGACTTCAATAGCTTCTGATAAATTACGGTCATTATACCAGCTCGATCAAAAAAACCAAGTCTTGGAAAGTCACCTTCTGATAAATTACGGTCATTATACCAGCTCGAAGCTTTAACTTCAAAATAGCAAGGTGATACGTGTACTGTGTATCAAGAACTGACCTGCAAAATTAAACAAGGCATGACAAACAATATTGAGACAAATAAATTCAACTATCCCAAGGGAAAAAAATATTCCCTTAGCAGAAACACACTCCCAGAAGTATAACGGCATAATGTGTAGATTAAAATCAAAAAAGAAATGAATCCTATTAGAAAATATTGCAAACTGGCGTAAGAATTACTTCAAAAAAGATGTTAAACCCAATGATACAGCAAGAAGAAATCCATCCACCCCTCCAGAACCTAGATACACAAAGAGAAGCACAGGTAAGATACACATCATACAGCAGGTTAGCAAGATTGCATCCCCCCAACCCCCAACCATCACCAACAAAAGAAGGGGGAGAGGGGGGAACGCCAACTTGGAGTTGTCAACTTAGGTTCTTGAAATCAGATAATTGCCTGTAAATTGGACAACTATTAAGTTATGGAATCCTAGTAGCTTATATTTGGGGACCTAAGGTGATTGGAGCTTTATCTAACAGACTAATTAATAACATTTGAATTTTAAAGCATATTTCACAAGCTTCACTATTGTTCTTTTGAACAGCGCAGGTTTAATCCAGAGACCAACAAGCCATAATGAAGGTATAGCCAAGTATACTCACCATTTTAATAACATTTGAACTTTTGAAGTATATTTCACAATGAAGGTATAGTAGCATTCTTTTTAAAAATTGAACCATTCATCACAAATCCTTTCAAGGGAATAAAATAGAAAGAAAAGAGGATTAGAGGAAAAACTATGACTATCATCCTCTGCTTCAACTTCAATAGGGGAAAGAGGGATCTTAAAGCAATTCCTTTATGTTTGGAAATGATAGATAATAGGTTAATATTATCTTGTTAATATTCTGTAAACATATATTTTGTGTAATTTAGGACTCTCATAATTAGGTTTGTAAATATCTATATATATTGAATGAATGAGAAGCCTCCAAAGGAGAATTACACTATTTTACATGGTATCAGATTCTAATTAGGGTTTTCTTTTCTCTCTCTTTTCTCTTTTTCTCACAAACCCTAGCCGATCCTAGCCCTAATCGTGACCTCCAGTGCCGCACATCACCAACAACTTCCGACCACTCCTTCACTTTTCCATGGCAGGCGACAACACTCCTCCTCCCCCCCCCCCCCCCACCCCCTCCTCCCTCCAACACCTTCCACCAGGCCTTTGCCGTATCAAACATCAAAAATCTCATGAGTATTACACTTGATCACGAAGAGGCGCAATATGCTACGTGAGTTGAAGTTTTTCAACTTCAAGCTTTTGCTTTCAATGTTCTAAATCATATTGATACTACCGTTTCTTGTCCGACGGAGATTGATGATGCAACTTGGAAGAGATTGGATGCTATTGTGAAGCAATGGATCTATGGAACCATCTCCAAAGACCTTGTTCACACAATCATGAAACCGGGTGCCACGGCTCAAGAATTATGGACCCGACTCGAGGAGTTGTTTCATGACAATAAGCATACTAGAGCAGTGTATTTGGAGGAACAATTTGCCAACACAAAACTTGAACAATTTGCTAACATGTCTGATTATTGTAATCAAATTAAGGTCCTTGCAGATCAACTTGCTAACGTTGATTGCCTGGTTTCCGATCGTAAGATGGTTATGCAACTTATTGCAGGACCCACCAAGGGTGAATATGACACCGTGGCTGCAATCGTCTCCTAAACCGAACCCACTCCAAGCTTCAACAAGGCACAATCCATGTTCCTTTTGGAAGAAACTCGCAAAAGAAGCAAGAGGAATCGGGTCAACAAGCTCTTGTGGCCCAATCTTCTCAAGCCCAGTCCACGTCACAACCCACCAGCCGGCGCCGACCAGCGTGGTGGTGGTGCTGGCCGGGGACGAGGGCGGGGTCGGAGCAACACCAACAAGCCAAAAGGCCGTGGTAACGGACGCGGTAACAACAACAATAATCTACAGCAACATCAACAAGCTTCTAGGCCACAGTGGCAGGCCCAACAGCAGCAGGCCCCTCAGTGTGGGGTGGACAGCCCACTGAGTAGCAGCTTCCAAACGGGCAGTGGGCTTCACCACCCTGCCTGTTTCCAACCGGTTCGGCCCAACAGCTTCCCTCCTAGCCCGCGTCCAGCACAGCACAGCAACAAGCCTACTATGCTCGGCTCAATTATAACCAGCTCATGATTCCAACGGAATTGGGCCAAGCCTATAGCTCCATGAGTCTCCAACCTCCCGACAACGGATGGTACATGGACACGGGAACCACCTCCCACATGACTCGTGATTTGGGTAAAATATCTAAACTATTTAATTTGAGCATTCCTCAATATATTTTAGTTGGTGCTAGCAAACGTATTCTGATTAATGGTTATGGCAATTCTACTACCCCTACACCTGACCCAACTTTCCATCTCAAGAATGTCCTTTATGTTCCTAACATAATTAAAAACTTAATTTCTATTAGAAAATTTACTTGTGGCAATTCTGTGTCTGTTGAGTTTGACCCTCTCGGTTTTTCTGTGAAGGACCTTCATTCGGTGACAACTCTAGCGAGGTGCAATAGTGTGGGGGACTTATATCCATTCTCACATTCTTCCGCTCCATGTGGTAATAGTCATCTATCTCTAGCTGCAACTTCTCCTTCAACTTGGCATCATAGACTTGGCCACCCCGGCGAACCTGTTTTTGATTTTCTTAGGAAAAACAATTTAATTCGTTGGAATAAGAGAAACAATTCTCATTTTTGCTATTCTTGTCCTTTGGGAAAAGATGTACGGCTTCCTTTTAAGCCCTCTACTTCTGTCACTTTTTCACCATTTGATATTGTTCATGTAGATTTATGGAAGTCTCCTATTTCTAGCAAATTGGGTCACAAATACTATTTAGTATTGCTTGATGATTTCTCTAATTTTACTTGGGTGTTTCCTATCAAATATAAATCCAAGTCTATGATATTTTTCTTAATTTTCAAGCATATGTTAGAACACAATTTGAAAGGGACATTAAAACCTTTCAATGTGACAATGGTCGTGAATTTAATAAATCTCCATTTCATAATTTTTGTGCGACTAATGGCATGGTCTTTCGTTTTTCTTGCTAAACACTTCTTCCCAAAATGGTAAAGCCGAAAGGATAATTCGCACTATTAATAATATGTCTCGTACTATACTTTTCCATGCTTCTCTTCCCCCTTCTTTTCGGATTTATTCAATACATATGGTTACCTACATTCTCGACATCTTGCCTACTACAACCATCCAAAACAAGACTCCAATCGAAATTTTATATTGTAGAGTACCCACCTATGATCATCTTCGTACTTATGGTAGTCTTTGCTACCCAAATATGAGTGTCGTTGCACCTCACAAGCTTGCTCCTAGGTCTAAACCGTGTGTTTTCTTGGTTTTTCCTTCTAATCATCGGGGTTATTTGTGTTATGATTTGTCATCCAATAAAACTATTATTTCTCTCCATGTGACTTTTGTTGAAGACATTTACCCATTCTCAAATCTCCAACAATTTAGAGAAATAGATTATGATTTCTCGGACTCCTCTAATGCTATCGACACTAACCCCATGTTCCTACAACCCACTCAAACTGTTGGCCCATCTACTCAAACAGCCACGCAAAACACGCAAGCTACACACCAGCTCGCTCCCACTCCAACCGCAGGCCTCCTGCGGACCTCCCTACATAGACCGCCTCCCTCACCTTCTTCACCTACTAGCCTAACTACTCCATCCCACTCTTCCCCAACAATCCAATTTGGATCTCTACCATATCCAAGCCCAGTCCATACTACTCATTCAAGGCCAAATCTCCAACCCACTCACTCTATGGCCACCCGTGCCAAGAGTGGTATTTTCAAGCCGAACCCGAAATATCAAGCCAATATTACGGTTCAAGCTATTTCTCCTTTACCTAAAAATCCGAAATTAGCCATGCTTGACCATAATTGGAATACCGCCATGAATGAGGAGTTTAATGCTCTTACTAAACAACATACTTGTCCCAAGGCCGGATGGGGTAAATATTAGTCATTGTATGTGGTTATTTAAACACAAGTATAGAGAATATGATGATTTGGAGAGACATAAAGCGAGACTTGTTGTCAATGGCAAGTCTCAACTGGTTTGATTGTGATGAGACTTTTAGTTCCATGGTGAAGCCGGCTACCATTCGGACTGTGTTAAGTATTGATATGGGTAAAGACTGGCCCATTCATCAGTTGGATGTCAAAAATGCGTTTCTTCATAGTGATCTCAAAGAAACGGTGTTTATGCATCAACCTCCGGGATTTGTGAACCCTAATGCTCCACTTATGTTTATCGGCTCCGCAAATCTCTCTATGGCCTTAAACAGGCCCCTCGGGCTTGGTATCAATGGTTTGCTAATTATCTTTTGCAGATTGGTTTAGTGTGCAGCAAAGTGATAATTCCCTCTTTATTTTGCGACATGGTGCTAATGTTGCATATCTCTTGCTTTATGTAGATGACATTGTTCTTACAGCTTCCTCAAAAATATTCAAGTGTGATATTATTTTTTTTCTTAAGTCTGAATTCTCCATGTCTGACTTGGGAAAGCTGAGTTATTTTTTAGAAATTTCTGTAGCCGAACAAAGCACTCTATGTTTCTCTGTTAGAGTAAGTATGCAGAGGAAATTATTCACAGGGCAAAGATGGACAGTTGCAAACCGGTTGTTACACCCATCGACACTCAGTCGAAACTTGGGCCTCACGATGGTAAGCCAATAAAGGATCCCTCTCTCCACAGGAGCCTTGCAGGTGCACTCCATTACCTCACTTTCACCAGACGTGCCATTGCTTAATGCATGCTCCTAGGGAACCTCATTTTAATGCTCTTAAGCGTATTATCAGATATATCAAAGGCACTTTGGATCATGGCCTACATCTATACCATTCTGCTCCTACGAGACTTATTTCTTACACAAATGTCGATTGGGGCGGCTGTCCAGACACACGGTGCTCTACTTCAGGGTATTGTGTTTATTTGGGTGATAATCTTGTCTCGTGGTCAGCGAAATGACAGGCTACTTTGTCCCGATCCAGTGCCGAAGCAAAATATAGAGGTGTCGCTAATGTCGTTGCCGAAATCTGTTGGCTCCGAAATCTTCTTCTCCAGCTACATTGCCCTATTCAACGGGCATCCTTGGTTTATTGTGATAATATTTCTGCCGTTTACTTATCTTGCAATCCGGTACAACACCAACGTACCAAACACATTTAGATGGACATTCATTTTGTACGCGATAAGTTCGCCCTTGGTGAGATCAAGGACTTACATGTCTCTTCTTCATATCAGTACGCATATATTTTCACAAAAGGTTTACCTAGGCAACTATTTTTAGACTTCAGAGACAGTCTAAGCGTTCGACCTCCTCCCACTTCGACTGCGGGGGTGTGATAGATAATAGGTTAATATTATCTTGTTAATATTCTGTAAAGATATATTTTGAGTAATTTAGGACTCTCATAATTAGGTTTGTAAATACCTATATATTGAGTGAATAAGAAGCCTCCATCAAGGAGAATTACACTATTCTACAGAAAATATCAATTAGATTCCACTACAGAAAATATCAGCTAGCTATGTAAACAGCTTTTGAGGGATTACAATACCTTGTTGAAGAAACTGAATCAACTTATTCAGAAGCAAAGGTCCAGCAAACCCAATGCAGTCATTGAACACCTGATTCACACACATTACGGTAAAATAGGAAACGGTTAACACAGTCTTCAACTAAATAAGAATGTAGCAATCTTTTGTAACAAACCAATGCAAGATTTTTTTCTTTTTACCCATCCAAAGTACATAAGCAGAATAAGGTTGTAAACAGATTTATTAATAACAAAATTACCTGGAAAAAGAAAAAAAAAATAAAAAATAAAGCCAACATTTAAATAACTACTGCATTTTAATTAACTAAAATGCTGATGGGTTAACAAATATCTTCCCTAGCATTACATTTGGAAAGAGACCTACTTTTGTGATTACTCGACTTTTGCACGTCCAAATCTCGTTAAAATCTACTTTATCATAAAGTCTACTTTAGCTCAAATTCTATTCTAAAATTTAAAAAAAATAAAATGATGTGATTAAACTTTTGAAATAAATCTCTTTAAAATACCTCGTCAGCAAAAATTTGAAGAGAATAGATTATTTCTCTAAAATCAATAATTGGATTAAGAGTGATCAGACAAAATTCAACACATATTAGAAACTAATAATAGCAGCTTCACAAAAAAATCTTTACTGATGCTGACAATACCTTTAGCACGCCAAGGCGAAGATATGGCCATCCATATGCAGAACAAATTGCCTTGAAGAATGATGGATTAGAGCAATTAATAATCTGCTGAGCTCGCCAACTTGTCAGCAAGATATTATGGCAGGAAGAAGGATCCATATCCGACGGCAAATCAAGCAATTCTTCAAAGTCAAGCTGCTTCATGACACCTTTATCCATTATTGGCTTGATTCTGCTGAATGTCATGAGCATCCAAATGGTTTTCACTGATCCCTTTCACAGAGAAAAGAAACAGGTAATTATTTACAAGTAATTAAAAATCTCATTCTTTGGAAGATTAGTAAAGTTGAGGTCCAATGTGAAAATCAGCATAGAAAAACCCTGTTACTCTGAAGTCTGAATACAGCAAGCAAGAAATCATTACTCCCATCCAAAATCGGTTATTCTACTTTCAACTATAATTTCCTCAAATAATAAACCTTCTAGGGGAATATAGCTCGTTACACTTATGAAAAACTCTAGAGAAAAGCTCAATTAATTTAACACATCATATATCAGTATACAACCATCATACATAAGAATAGAGGGTACTTACAGAATTCCTAGGGTAACCTTCCTCAAGGTCACGTGACAGTAGAGGATCCTCCAGCTGATATTCACTCCTGCTAAAGGGGAACACCAAAAAAAAGAGAGAATTTCTAAACAGGAGAAAAACATTTTTGCTTATGAACTGGTAGCTAGTGCCCTAAACCATATTGGCCAAACCCCAACAGATATTAAATGAATAACTAGAATATTGGAGTGCTTCGTTTTGCAATTTGAGCAATGGGCTAGAAAGAGAAAATAAGGGGATAAGCATAAGAGGAGCACATTGATGCACTCATGCACACCCCAAGGACTAAATGGGAGAGACTGCAAAAGTAATAATAATCATCATAGTAAAGAGATTGTTATTCATATTCTAGAGTTTATTTTTTGTTCAACAAACAACACATACCATATTCACACAACAATCAAACAATTTATAACATACAAAAAAGGTAAATTTTTCAATAACAATTTTCATAAAAGTAAATTTTCTGGATAACAAATAAAAAAAAAATTAAAAAAAGGAAATAAATTAAGAAGAGCAGGAGAGGCCTTTGGAGTTTAAAGACATCAAACTAATGTTAGAGGTACCTGGAACAGGAATTTTGCCTTATTCTAACAATGTTTAGACATATTCCAAATGCCATGTCCAGTAGAAAAGTCAAGCACTCTTTAAAAGTCCACCACACCTGCATAACAAGTCAAATTATCATAGACTGAAATTTTAATCCGGTTTAATAATATTAGGGAAACTAAGCAATATGCAATACTAGATATGCAGGGTTGTCCAACCTATTATTCAATCAGAAAACCCTCCTGAAACTAGGTCCACTACTGAAACAAACTAGGTCCACTATGCAATTATGGGATCAGCCATGAAAGCTTAGAGTATCCAGAGTCTTAACTTAAGTTAACACAAAAAAAATCTATCATTTGAAGCTTACAAGACAGACCAGCCTAGTCATGTATCAGAAACAATGCATTTGAAATTTCACATTCTCAAAATGGCATAAAGGGTTTTCAAACACCCGCTCTTTAAGAATATGCAAGAAAGTCTAAGTTGTCTTCATGCACAAAAAATTTGATAATGTAGCTGATGAATCATGATGAAACCCTTAAAAGAGACAGCTCACAGTATCAATTTAACATCTTTCATGCTCACAGTAGCATCAGTCAATCAGATAACACTCGCTATTATGGAGAAAAGCCAATCTCCCAACACAATCACTAACAATAATATGACACAAATATTTGTCAGCATACTCAATAATGTCATGCATCATCAACACCACAGACCACGACAATTCACACCTACCTCATTTAATACAAAGTCTGTATGCTAAGCAGCTAAGCTAAACTACTCCCTTTGTCCCTATTTGTTTGCCCCATATCAAATATTGGGGTTAAACTTTAAAACCTTTGACCATAAATTCTCATTAATTTATAATGATAATATAGTCAAGGGGAATCTTGTTGGATTCGTCTCATTGTATACTTTATTAATATCAAGTTTTTATAATTTTTACGCATATGAAAATGGAGATATTTACGTCTTAAGACGCGTTCGTGTTGAAGACTGTGAATAGTCCAATGGAGCAAACAAATAGGGACGGAGGGAGTATATGTTAAATACATTGCCAAATAGTGAAACAATTGTTGAAGTGTTGAACAGGTGCCAAAGATGGAATAAACCTCCCATTGAACTAAGGGAAACAGATACCTTACCTCATATGATGATATGACTATCTGCAAATGAGGCACTAGAAAAAGTGGCTTTATAATCCACCAAAAACACAGGAGACGACTGCAACATAGGGTGTACCAGAAATCACACCTAGATAGCAGAAGAATGATAATCTGCAATGTCATGGTTTGACAACAAAATATCATTCGAGAACATACAATGTTAATTAATTAACAGCATGCTATATTAAAGAACATACCCAAACACACAATTGAGAGCATCTGTAGATCAAGTCATGGTACAAAAATCTGTGACCATTATATCCGTCCCACAGAATGAATACCATGTCAAAGAACGACACACATGCTTCAAGGGCAGGCAAAACTACAATAAATCTCCTTGGCAGGTGCATCTATTTAAATTCAATTCATTCAAACAACATAAAAAATAAAATGAATATTAAAAGTCTTCTTCACAAAATATAAAATAAACCATAAAAAGTTAGAATGGGGCAAAAGGCAAACCTTGATTCCTCCTCTGCCATCCCGTTGCAGGATCCAAATTCCAGTAATCAAAATGATAGTTACCACATTGCTTCCACAGCCAAACACTGTAATTAATGTTAAGGACATTCGAAAGTACAACCACCTAGCAAAAATGGACTTGCACAAGCAATGGAACCAAAAAAAAAACACGTGTAGTGTTAGACAAAGGATATAGATGAGTAAAGCATTGTGAGAACATGTTATCTTCCCAAACCTGGAATCAAAGAGAAGACTTCCTTCAGAATCACAAAATACGAATAGATAAACAATTAGTTAACATCTGGAATTGTTGTTGGAGCAAGAAATATTCACAAACTTGTGTGAGTAATTCAGAGTTGATAAGTTTAATCATAGTTGGCTATTCTTTATAAAAAAAAATGAAGAAATGCATTAGAAAGTGGAGGAGTATTTCCCCATCTAATAAAAAAAGTAACAGCAAATAAATGAATAATCAACAATGGCGGCAACAAATGAAGCTTGACATTGATGGCGTAATGAAGTAGAAAAACTAATTGAAATACAGAGAACACAACGCAATTGAAGTATAATGAAATTAGGGCAGTTAATAAATAAGCTGTATAATATGATCATGCAAAACGAAAATTATAAAAAGAAAAAAGAAACGAAGAATTGAACATACAGCGCAAATGAAATTCGTGGAAGAAAGAGAGCGCATTAAATTGAAAAGAAGAGCGAGTGAAAGTGGGAATTAGTGCGAGGAAGAAGAAAGTAGAGAGCGAGAGCATTGGGACTTGAGTTTGACAACATACATACTGTACATACACCATCGTTTTGAAAAGCTTTAATTAAAGGCTTCCCACTAACTGTTCATGTGATCCCCACTAACACGCATTCGCGCGCTCTAACGGACACATTCTTCTTCAACTTCAACTACGAATTAGGCCTCACATTGCTTTGGCCCATTGGGCTCACCATTATCATCGCCCAATACTTTTTTTAAAGGGTATCCTTATTAGGTGGATTCGTAGGCTCGTAGCATTTCTAAGATAAGACATTTGTTAAGATATACTCCTTCCGTCCCTTCTATTTTGCCTCATAATGTAATGTTACTTTATTAAGTTTTTTGATTGGAAAAAAGTGATGAGAGAGAAAAGTGGTTGAGTTAATGGGATGGTTGTGAGAGTAAAAATGTGGACCCATATATCCAAAAATAGAATGGAGCAAAATTAAAGGGACAAAATAAAAAGGAAATTTGTTTCTTTTCTTTAACCCCTCACCCAAATTGGTCTATAGTCTATTTTGGTGCCCTTGACCTATAACCAAATGATACTTGCAAATAACTTCTTTTTTTTTTTTGTATTTTTACAAGGTTTTTCAAGTATTTTAGGACAAACAAGTCCTACTTAGTATTAACGCATATTATGATAATCTTTAAATTTTACTTTAGCTCAATGAGCAAATTTTGTTCATCACAATTATAAACTTGATATTTACTTGATTCCTCGAGATATAATTTTCTTATGTGCATTTATTCATTCATTATGTCTAAGTGCTTGTTTGATTAACAACATGTGAATTGATAGGAGTTCAAAGTTTTGAAAAAGTGCATAACCATGAACTTGTTTGGTTTATACTTCCCTAATATTGCAGAATTGACACACCTATTTTCCAATATATCAATAAATTACGAGTGGGTTATATAAACCTTCTACGATTAACAAAAACAACAATTTAATTTCTTTGTGAATTATTTTTTTTTGCTAGTGCTACTTTTTCGAAAGGTCAAATCTCACTAATTAGCCAATGTAATGCAAGTTGTTTGATATAGGATAACATAATTAATGAAAGTATAAAATTGTTTGGTTAAAAAAAAAAAAAGGTATTACTTTCCCTCACAAGTTATTAAACATTGAGAATTTCCCTTGTTAACTAAGTAATAAAAATCTTATAAAACTAATAGATTATGTCACAACCTGTTATGTGTTAACCAAACAAAAAAAAAAATATTTACATCACAATCTAAAATTTAAAGTGAGTTATTTATGAGCAGAGTTTTAGATTATAAAAAAAAAAACCGTTTGTTAAGAACCAAAAAGAGTTATTCTCTTAATTAATGAACTATTCTCTCTGTTTTAAAATAATTTTCTCACTTTATGTGTTTTAAAATGATTTTCTCACTTCAAGTTTAATTTCTTACGTATCCTCATTATTTTCCCATATTACCCATATTTTCATGGTCCTAATTCAAAATAAATAAATAAAATTTGCGCCACGGGATGAATGAATTATCCCTCTTTGTTGACATTTCCCACCTTATCTTGTTCCACTTCCAATCTTTCTCCTCCTTCCTCTTCCTCTTCCTCATTCAAAACTCCATTAATAATAATGGCGCTCTCATTCCACCCTCTTCATTCTCTCTCTTCAATCCACCCTCTTCATTCTCTCTCTTCAATCCACCCCACTTCTCACTCTCTCTCCCCTTTCCTTGCTAAAACAACCATCAATTTCCCTTTCTCCCAATCATCCCCTATTTACACTTCACCCCTCAGAATTCAGTGCGCCACCAATAATACAGCATCAACCTCCACCCCCAATCCTAAATCTGGGGTTTCTGTTTACAAACCCAAATCTTATGAAGTCCTTGTCACTGATGCTGCTAATGCTCTCTCTCTTGCTCTTCAGGATGGCAAGCTTCGACTCGAAATCGACTTTCCGTAACTTTCTCTTCTTTCTAGTTTCTTTATCTTGCTACTCGTCATTTAATTTTGCCCTTAAATTGTTTATACACACTGTAATGTTGCTATGTTTAGTGATATAATTGGTAAATGTTGATGTTATATGTGATCAATTGCTGCAAGTATTATGAACATGCCTTAATTTTTCAAATTTAATTGGTGATTACCGATAATAATAGGCGTTTGGAGAAATGTTGCTGGGTTCGTGTTTGAACTTTTCATGTTTTAGAATTGAATTTGTGTTACTAATAAATACCAGTAGTATGAAACTATTTGAAACCGGGGATTGCTGGTTCTAGCTACTGCTTTGATTGAGCTTATGAGCTATGGAGTATTCGTATGCTGAAATTCAAATGATTGAAAACTACACAACACTATAAGGTATGGAGTATTGAAATGAGAGCCTAATTTAGTACATTTTACTTCACTTTTGCCTCATATATTATAGTCATATGTACGTTATGTAACAATGGCTATTGACACACCGAGACATGTTGCCGGAAGTTCATGTATCTAATCTTGCAATTTCTCCAATGTGAGAGGCAGATTGCATAAAGCCCATTAGGTGGGTTCAATTATTCATTAGTGTTCCTTCTATGAAGTCTGGGTGATTTCGTTTGTGGACGGAATAGTTGTCTTTTTTTTTTTCCCCTTTTGATGATTATCCATCTTTCTGACATGAGTTTTTCCTTTTGTTTACAACAGGCCTCTACCGAGTGATATATCTTCTTACAAGGTATTTATTGTGTCAATTTAGTTCTCTTGGCCTAATCATATATAGCTTCAATTTTCAGTCTAGTTTCGGTAAATGAGTGGCAACCTCTGTTATTCATACTGCAATTTTCTTGTCAAACCTATGCCTGTCATAAATTGATATTTTAACTGCATACAAGTATGATACTTAAAAATTGATTGTAAAATTATATAGAAAAGCTATCTGTATCTATGTTCGATATTTCTAAATCTTATGAATTCCAACACTCGTGTAAGCTTTTGAGTAACATTGGTGGCACCTACAACTCATATGCTTACTACTAGATGAACTTATTGACTCATATTAAAAACAGACGCATGATTTTCTCAAATTGTGAAGGGATCATCAGACGATTTCATCGATGCAAATATTCAGCTAGCATTGACTGTTGCGAGGAAACTTCAAGAGAAAATGCAACTCAGATCATGCATAGTAAGAGGACATATTTCTATATATCTTTTGGCCTAAATGTTTGGAGACAGAGAACTGATTTCTTCGTTGCTGGGGATATCAGGTGTTTCCTGACAAGCCTGAAAAGCGCAGGGCCACTCAGTTTTTCAGGACTGCTATTGACTCGGTAACAATATCTATCCTCAACTTGATATCTTGTAATCCACTCATTGTTTGTTTCTTGTAATAATAAGTGCAGTGACAGTCATGGGTTAACTAATTTCTACCCTCAGACAATTAACTTCCTATAGTTCTTAGAGGTTCTCTTGTTTGACAATTTAGTTCATTACTGGCTCTTTAATGTATTACTGGGATATAAGCTAAATGATGAAAGACTGGGTGCTGAATTTTATGAGCTGAATTATTGTTTTCCATTATTTCAGATTGATGGCATTACTATAGGCTCCCTTGATGATGTGCCTGGTGGTGCTGTTTCGAATTTCTTTAACTCAATAAGGGATACATTGGATTTTGATTTTGAAGATGACAATGAAGGTTAGATGTGAGTGCTCAAGTGTGATATGATTTGAATTCTATTAGCTCATCTGTATTGTGGAGATGATAAGTTTATAATTAGCAAGTTAACTGCCATTTTAATACCTATTCTTCTTGCTGGTGACCAATTAATACTCCATAGCTATTTGTCACATTGAAAAGAAGCTCTTCCTTTCTTTGTATTTTGTTGTTTTCTTCATCTTATTCTTATGCTCAAGTGCAGAACTTGAAGCTGGCAGCAAGTTGATTGCATCCCTCTTATATTCCTTGTCATCTGCTCTCTGGTTCCCTTATAATTGAACAGTTGAGAATTTTGCTCTTTGTCTACATGCAGGCCGTTGGGAATCTGATGATCCACCTTCACTTTACATATTTCTCAATTGTAGCACACGAGATCTCTCTCTGATAGAGAAGTATGTGGTACGATGTCTTTGCTTTGTAATTTTGTCTTCCGTGCATCCTAATATTGTGGTGCGTGTATGCGTCTTTATATCTATAATGGTCGCTATAACATGTTTGTTTATTTATGCTGCATATATAATGGGTTCATGTGGTTCTGCTTCTGAATATTTAGTAAAAATTGAGAATTTTGTATCATATTTGTATCAATATATTTGGCACTGCCAATGTGGTATGTCACTTGCATTGTAAAATTGATGGACCATCAATTTTGTTCTTCTAAGCTTTGCTAGGATTTACTATGACATTAATTGGGTGGTATTATAGGAAGTTGAGTAAGATTGAGCAAGGGGTAGGCTGTCTTTACAATTTAATCTCTTGCCAAGGTTACAAGTTTGTCTGTCAAAAAGGTTTCTGATCCTTTTGTGTAATATTATACCATTGAGAAAATTTATATGTCTGTCCATACAAAACTTTTATCTTTGATGAAGATTGGTGAGAATTTATAGAGTGGATGGCTACAAACATATATGAGTGTATAGATGTAAGCTGAGCTACTACTTTTGTGGCATCTTTTCCGTCATCATAGTGAAATGTTAGTAGAGACAAGGATTGATAGTTTTTTGAATTTCTTTCACTGCTGAATAAGGATTAGTCACAAAATAAAAATGATATTTTTCTTTCCTCCTTTTATTTGACGTTTCTTTTGTTTTCTTTAACTTCTGGGCTACTAATCTATCTCTGTCCGTAATATGCAGGACAAATTTGCTTCGTCAACTCCCACTCTCCTATTTAATCTCGAGCTTGATACATTACGGTATAAGTTTGGTCTTGCCTAAATTAGTTACTTATGGATGGACTGTCCAAAGATTATATATCCTCATTAATTCAAAGAGTATATGCTTTTACAGTGCTGATCTGGGTCTTCTAGGCTTCCCACCCAAGGATCTCCATTACCGATTTCTTTCTCAGTTCATTCCAGTCTTCTATATCCGAACAAGAGAATATTCTAAGGTAATTCTCTTGCTGATTTTCTAAAAGTTGACTCCATTTACCTCCTTTTCTATTTCTTTGGCTAACCATATTTTTCCTTTTCTTTTATATTTGGCTAACCATATAAATCCTTTCCTTTTCTTTTTAGGCTAACCATTTCTTTTTTATAATTTCCTTGATGCATGAAAGACAGTGCCTGTGGCGCCATTTATCGTGAATTATAATGGAGCTCTGTTTCGCCAATATCCTGGTAAGTAAACTAAATTGGTGGTTACATTGTCGTTTACTTGTTTGAGAGAATCAGTTTTTGATCAGTGCGATGAACTGATGCATGCAGGAGGGGCACTTTAGGCAATATCTTTCTATGTTAGTTATGGGTTACTTGGGGAATAAGCTAGGGAAGAAATTCTATAAATAAAGAAGATTAGAGAGAGGGAATTCATGTTAAATAGTGTGATAGCTGATTAGCTTGTAGGCTTGGGAGAGTGCCGTTCCTCTTGAAAGATTGACAGGGCTGTAATTGGCATTAATTCAGTCATCTCTGGCTGGTTTTACACTAATCATCCCTTTTTCCTAGATACATCATTTTAATCCATATTCTAGTGCTTAGTCTATATTAATGCACTACGATCAGCAGGATAGTAATTGCATCTTTGCATGTAACCCTCAATTACCTAGCTAACCTGCTTTATACTTTTGTGAATGTGGTGGATGTTTTTTTTTTTTTTTTCATTATTTACCCCCCTGCTGTTTTTTGTTAATTATTTGGACTATACAGCTTAGTGGGAAGGATTTATATATTCTTTACAGGGCCTTGGCAGGTGATGCTGAAGCAAGCTGATGGTTCTTTTGCTTGTGTCGCAGAAAGTGCTACCCGATTCACACTTGGTGAAGTAAGCAATTCTTGTTGATTAGACTTTTATTTTCAATTATTGTTGATACTCTGTTGCCACATAAATGGAATTCACATTATAATTGATTCAGACCAAGGAAGAACTTTTGAGGGTTCTGGGGCTGCAAGAGGAACAAGGAAGCTCTTTGGAATTTCTTCGTAGAGGATATAAGGTTTGTTTTCCTTTTGCATATGTCCTTCAAACTTTTTCACAAAAACCTGACTTTAAATTTCTTTGATAAATTTGTCTTTTTTAATTAATGTTGCTGTAAAAGAAGAAATTATCATGATTTTACTTTATGATAAATCTTTCAGACTTCCACCTGGTGGGAAGAAGATACAGACTTGGAGGCTTCTACTGAGTGGAGAAGTTGACAACTATCAATAGTATGTTTCAGCTGATATGGACGGCATCAAATGAACTGCACAGGGTTTCAATACATCATATTCATAGTTGGTGAGGAATTTTCAGTTTTGCTTTGATTTCCCAATTCTCAATTGGAGAATTATACTGGTGTATTAATTTAGAGTTATTCTATCCTTCCCTGTACTTTACGTGAGGTTTCTAATTTCTGCAAAGTGTAATTAAATTTTAAAATTGCTTGAAACTGTTATATTCTGACGTCTATTGTAGCTTGATTCATATTATCCATTTTATGTGTAATTTCAAGTCTTTAGGAAACATTTAGTACAATACCAACTTTGTCACCCCATAGCTCGCTATAAAATGTATCGCTTTTGATTTTTGGTGGTTTATTTATACTGCGTATGTATTTTGTTTTGTAGGGGAAGATCCACAGCAATTTGGCAATGTCACATCTTCACCTCAAAGGACATTTACATGAGACTTTTTCTTGTAAGATTACACTGACCAATGCCTTGAAAAACATACATTTATTTGGCATGTGAGCATGTCCCAAAATCCTTTTGCTATTTTTTGGGTGAGATTGTTTTATACAATGTTTTGCCTTTAACTTTGATGGGATTTATAACTTTGTTCTACGAGGTATGAAAATAAAATAATGAGAACGTGACAAGGTGAGCAGATCTTTCCAATTTCAGCTTGTGCGAAAATTGCATTATTTACTTCCACACTTTGGAACACCAAATACATAGCATATGCACTATTTACATTCACGCCTTGCTCTCATGCAGGCCAGTGGGCATATCATATCTAGCTAACTACTCGTACAAGAACTTTTTTTTGAGGTGGGTGGGGTGGGATGAGGTAGGGTTCGGAAGCAATCAAAAATCTCGCGGATCAACGAAGAGTGTTGATGCGGATCGAGAAGTAACCCAATCTAAAGGCTGAGGATTGTTGCCCCCTTCTTTATTTGGGAGCTTCTTCATACACCACAAGTCCTCACTCCATGAAAACCTCTTCCAATGTGGGATAGCCTCGCTAACTGGGTCCCACTGTGCCACCTCAGCAACAACGGCAGCACACGCCACGTCATCCCTAGCCATGTTGTGTGCAAAGTTGCATAGACTTTTCATCAATTTTAAAGACCCCTTCCCTTCCATGTGTAGGCCATACAAGAAATAGAAGCCAAAAGGCCTAAACATGTTTGGTATAGAAGGCACCCTAAGCCAAGGCATATGAGCATCCAAAACCCTACTCCCTAGACAACAAGCCTTTGTTACCTTAGACACACCTTTTAGTTGTAATTGGTAAACTTCCTTAGTGTTCCACACACTCATAATAGCAAAGCAAGGTGGAAGCTTCTTTTGAGGATCCCATTTTTGTAGGTACCTCTTTGGCATCCCAATGAAGGTTCCTAAGTGAAGTTTGCTTGATAATATTGACTCTATGTCCTGAGGGAAGAACTCTGAGTTGGAGAAGATTCTTCGATACATAGATGCAGCTACTAGTGGCGGTACTTGGACAATAGCAGTGCTGGAGGTTACTGGTTTCCTATGTGCATGTACTGGTTGCACCAATACGGTTGGGTTGCAAAATTTAGAGTAGTTAAACTTGTAGGTGAACAAGTTGATTGAGGCTTCATTAGCACAATCAGTCATCATATAAACATATTCAGCTCCTTTTCCTTTGCACCATTCCTCCAACTTCTGAATCAACTTTGTAGCAATACCCTTTTGTCTGTTCAAAATTAAAGAAAGTCAAGATCAATGTTACATCAAAAGTAACTAGATAATTAGTCGTGGTCTTAACTGAACTATAATGACTTATAATAAGTGTGCACTTAGTATAAGATATCAAAGTATAAACCGAAGCGAAAAGCTCATCATTCAAATTAGACTTGAACCGAAAGAATCTATTAGGCACCTTTAAGAAGGAGAGGTTGGAGCAGTTAGGCATAGGCTTAGCTGATATATGAAGCAATATAAAGGTCTAGTGAATATGCCAGTCTTAAGTAGAATTCTTATGCTTGCATGATTTAAAATTAGTGATCCAATCAAACATAAGATTGATTGTTACGGTACAAATTCTTGGTCAAATTGTACAGCCAGCAAATCAAATTAAGATATGAGGAATAAAAATTGTAAGACATTCTTCAATTCGTGGAATGGTTACGGATCGGCAGTTGCAGAATCTATGACGATTGAAGTTATTATGCTAATATAAAGCATAATTTGGTCAAGTAGTAATCACACATGATTAAATTATATCAAGATACTGTACTACTTTGGAAAGTGCTTCCATTTACAAGTATATTTTTATATTCAACCCCACTTTTATAAGAATATTTATAAACTTGATTACAAAGCCACTGCACATAATCAGATACCCAAACAGTTCCTAAGATTATCTGTGCAGTGGTTCCACCCTTTTCTTCAATGAAAAAAAAAAATTTAGATTATTATCACCCTTTTTATTATTTTTATTACAGTATTATTTTTTTTTTTGTTATTGATTTTAGGTTGAATATTATTTCGAAATTAAAAGGCACAATTTTATAAGGTGAGAGAACATGAGAGAGTACCAAGTCACAAAGAAACCTCAATTAGATAGATTGAAAAATGGAATAATGGATTGTACCCGAGATGATAAAGTTAGGGCTAATAAGAAGCACGATATCTCTAAAATTGGTTGACCTTGAGTGGATGCCTAATAGTAATTTATATATGTTGATTATTATTATTATTATATGTTACTCTTCAATAAAAGAAAAGATAGATGAATATATCTTCGATCATTTGTGTCGATTGATGGGATGGGACTCATGGGAGTTCTGATTCCTATTCCTACCAAAACGAAGCCAAAAAAACAAGATTTGTCTCCAATACTATAGGATCAATTCTTGACTTTTTATGATCATGGAATCTAATCATTTTAACTTACTCTAAATTATATACAGACTAAAACTTAGGACCTACTTTAAGACATGATAAACATACAAATTCCCTAAAAAAAAAAAAAAACCTGTTTTTTAAAAAGATGTACAGTATTAAATATATAGATAACGAACTCTGATACTTTGGCTTCTAGAATTTATCCAATTATATATGTCCAAGTGTTGAGAATAAGAATTTACTTTTGTATATTAACTTTAACCTAATCATTCATTGTTGAAATTGAAATGGTAAAATAAACAACGAGAGATCCTTGCATGATAGTGAACCATCAGCCAAGAGCATTATTATCTTCATTCCATTTTATATTTTTTTTTTTTTTTTTTTTTTGACGACAGTCCATTTTATACTTTAATTAATGTAACATATTTTATTTTATTAAAAAACCTTTTAAACTATAGTTTTTTCAAGCGAGTCAAAATTAAGGAAATATATTCATCAATAATTTTTTCATGTAAACTCCCCAAAACCATTTACTACGTGTGTTATGCCGAACTGCAAATGGTATAAACCTTTTATATATACAGAGTATTTGCGGTAAACCCTTAATTAAAGGTAAGCACTTAATGACTTTTTGGATATAAAAACAACATAGTTGCATGATCGAAGATTACACTAGATGTTTTGTGACTTAGAAGGAATTTAAGATGGTCAATTACTTTTTCTGTCGGATTGTCTTTTATAGATCACCCCATATATATCACCCCACATCATAGATGGTTATGAAGGACATCTACTACATACGTTACTGGATTACTTTTCCTACCAAAAGTTATTAGTAAAAAAGTACGTTACTGTAACAGGAATGGAGGTGACTCGTAATGTACGTATAAGATGTAATAGTAAAAAGATATAAGATATACCTGTGCATGGGAGAGACTCGTAAGCCCAAAATATAAGCTAACTTGACATAAATAGGCAGATTATCATCATCAACAACCTTCTTTCCTCCAGTAACGGGTTTTATACCTCCTCTTATAACTCCAACAATATCTCCTCCATAATCTGCAACCTAATATTCATATCATCAGATAAACAAACGAAAAACATGAAATATAATAATCACCTAATAACATATATATGTGAGGATCAACCTTAACGTAAATAAAGATGGTTAGTTGTAGGTCATGCCTCGTTTACAATGGTATGTGGGTCTAACTATATATATATACTTGCGTGTTCTAAGCCAAATTTATTTTGTCAGACTAGGTTGTATATATTGTGACCATGGCCTGGCACTGCACACGTTACATGGTTGTGTACTAGTGTATGTGTCATGCCATATCCCATTGCGACCAGACCCATTGCTATCTTTATAACTACTACTAACACATACATACATACATACATACATACATACATACATACGAAGCAATAAGAAGTGATAAAGCATTATATATATTATTGAAGAAGTATAGTAAGAATATATATATATATATGTAGGTACGTACCATCATGATGCGAGTAGGAAAATGGCGTATTCTTCCGAAAGGATCACCCAAGAGGTGAGTGATGAGGGAAGGCTGGCCTTGGTGTTGGCCTCCAAACTCACATTGTCTCTCCAAATCCTCCACTTTTTCATTCTCTCTTTCTTCATCGAACTCTCTTATTTTCACTTCCATATTCATATTCTTTGTTGGTGACTCCTCAGCTACTATTTTTAGTGGCATTGATCCCTTTTTTTTTTTTTGGGGGGGGGGGGGAATGGATCGGAGGTTCATCAACTTCTGTGGTTGTGACATTTGTGCAAACTCAACTCCTTTTATATATAAATTTATTTGGAGGGACTCAGACAAGGGGGGTTCCTATGTATGACATGGCGAAGGCATTATTATAATGGCAAGTGTGCTAATGTTATTTTAATGGGTCCTTTTTTCTTTTTTTTTTTTTTTTTTTTTTTTTTTGGGTTTTGGTTGGAGGCCGCTATGTTGTGGTTCTAATTATTTGATTCACAGAATTTTACCTATTGATCAACTTGCTAACTAGTTTAACTTGTAGAGTAGGACGGTAGGAGTATATGTTTTTGGTTAGGGTATGTTCGATTCACTTTAAATTTTAGAGTTATAATCAGGACTCATTAGGTCTAAATAAATTTACATATATGTTATTGTGAAATTCTCATATGTTCGGTAATAAAGGATAAAGGAAGTGAAGGAGAGTGTTATGCTAAAACAGAAATTTACACCTTCACTATTCTAGAATTAAGTGAATTTTGAGATGTTTAGTTTGCAATGTCAAAAATAATAGTCGTAAACTTAATTTTTACATACGTGCGTACGTTAAAAATAAAAAATAAACTTAAGAAGACTAAAAAAACATGATGGGAGATGAATATTTATTTCTCCTTAAATTTGAAAATGATTGATATGATATCAATAATTGTGGTGTTGTTCATAACTTTAAATAAATAATAAGATCTTTCCATATACTTATGAATTATGATATGTGCACATAACTTTTGCTTTTCTCATGTGGCTTTTGCGCAGCCAAGTAACTCCCCCGCGACGGCTTATTAGCTATTACTCCTCTAATTTTATAATTTGGGACTATTATTAATCATCTTTAATTTATACGAGTTGTTATTAATTGGATAAAAGTTTTTTAATTTTTTTAAAAAATATTTGTTGCAGTTGGTAAGATTTGGGCCTTGATTTTGAGCGATCTGTGAATTACGATTACTGAATTAGAAAGTACTTTTTGTTTTAATTAGCTTAGTTATTAAGACTTAAGCTCTTGTGGTGGCTATTTCTCTAGTCACTAGCTCCACGCATGTTCTCACACCAACTGCCTAAAAAATAAATTATTACACACCTTGGCTACTTTTTTTTTTTTTTTTTTTTTTTTTTTTTTTGGTACAAGGTAAATCTAGTACAAGCTCAGTTATCTTGAAATTCAGATGAATGAGCAATAATTGGAGGAAAAAGATGCTTATTTGGTTTGGGTTTCAAAATAAACAATAAAACATCAACTTTGTTTATATCTTAAATAATACTCATGAACAGAAAAATCTTGTACAGCTCATATATAATACGAATTACGTAGTATAAAATTAGTAACCATTGAATAATTTAAGTTCACTAGTGTTTGCTTCGCATACAAGATCGAGTTAAGCATGGCCACATACTCCTAATTGCATTGAAGTGCTCTTGCATTTGATTACTTGGTTTACAGCAATTACTTGGCCCTAATGCTAGTTGTACCTATAGTAACATGATTTGAATTCGATTTTATCCAAAAAAAAAAAGTTGACCAAGATATATATTCACCTGTAAATTAATGTGACTTATAATAGCCAAAATATTGATATGCATATTGATAATAAATTTGAATATGAATCATTCTAAATTCCAAATAAGTGACTCATCAGTCATCGCTTATATAATATGTCAAAGCAATTGAACCAAATCAAACCCAATTTAAAAGACTATAGTAGAAACCGCAAAATTTATGAAAAGTTTGAGAATCTGAAGTGTTGCACCTTACACTACCTAGGTAATTTGACCGAGAAATCATTTTTTTCTTGCCTTACATCGATTCCCTGGGAAAAAATAATATTAATATTAGGGAAAAAAAAAAGTCACCGCCAATTATTAAAGCTTTTAAAGGCATAATTAAGCATCTTCTGTAGTATTTCTTGAGAAATTAATAAACAATTGTAGATTTGATACTAACCATAATAAATTGAAGGGATAAAGTATTATACGAAGTACAAATTAGCGAATGTCGGACCATCCTAGCGGCATAGCCAATTAACCAAATGACATATCTTCAATGTGGTACCAAATATATAACGTCTAAGATCACATAGGCGAATAGTTAGGTCTGTGGAATCGATTAATCTTGTAATTTTTTTACACATTTCATTAGGGGCGGAGCCAAGATTTTTTTATTAAGGGGACCAAACTTAATAAATGTCTTAATATCTCATGGACAGATATAGTATTCAAATGTGAAAAATAGTGAGGCCAAGTTTTATTAAAAAAATTAATGAAAATGTATGGAAAAGGGAATTTAATGCCTAGGTTTGCTATAACTTATTACTCCCTTCGTTTCGTAATAATCGCAACATTAGGTGTTGCAAAAGTTTTAGAAAAATTATAAAGTAGGGACCAAAAGATGAATATTATAATACTTCCTCCGTTTTTTTTATTGCATCATAGGGTTTTGGAGGCAAAATTTGGTAGTGGAAAAAAGTAAGAGAGAGAAGCGTAAAAATACAAAATTGTCCATGTAATATAAGATAAAATAAAAAGTAAGTGTGAAAAAGTAAGGGTATGTTGGGTATTTGCAGTGTGAACTTAGATATTTTTTATCCTAAAAAGGAAATGATGCAATAATAAGTAAACTTCTTAAAGTAGTAAGTGATGCGATAAAAAAAGAACGGAGGAAGTATAAAATATAGTTATTGGAGTTTGGAGATATGTTTAATTGTTAGTAGGAGAGAAAAATAATAAAAAAAAAATAGTATAAGTGGGGTTGGTAGGAGAGAGAAATAATAAAATAGTAATGGGTCCTTACCAAATAAGGAAGTGTTGTAATTATTATGAAACGAATAAGAAAGTGTTGCAATTTTACGAAACGGAGGGAGTATATGAAATACTCGTAAAAAAAATCTCTACGAAATACTCGTAAAAAAAAAATCTTAAAAAAAATGTGAGGAGCAAGTCTCGAATAGGGATGGCAATGGATCAGATTCGGGTCGGATGGAGCTTCACCCGCATCCTTCCGCTTACTCCATCCGATCCACCCGTCATCCGCCTAACCTGTCATCTGTATCCGATCCAGTCGTCATCCGTGGGTGAATCGGGTAGATCGAGTGCTTAACGGGTAATACGATAATAAAATTAACTTCTGTTAAAAATGACATATAACATTAAATTAATTAACTGTTCATCATTGTCTTTGGTCCTTCACCCTCCTTCACCAACTACGACTTTCTAAACTTGTGCATGGATCCGGTGATGGATGGCTGGCTTGGAGCTCTACTCGACTTCGATCCGATTCGTCACCCGCTTCATCCATTTAAATCGGGTTTTTGCCCATTTATTTATATCGGGTGGATCGGATTACTGGATATCCATATAAAATTGCCATATCTAGTCTCGAACTTGTGACCTCCAAATAGATCACTTTGCTCTACCACCAACTCAGCTATGATGCATTCAACATAAATATTTGCAATATTTAATATATAATCAAAACCAAGGGAGAGGCCATGGCCCACGCCAGCCCCCCCTTGGTTCCGCCACTGCATTTCATGTCATCACTTCTAATATATTTTATTCCCTCTGATGACTAATTAAAATCTTATTTCACCCGTAAAACTATTTAATTTCATGTTCACAAGCTGTCAAACTGACAATTCTTTTTTTTTTTTCTAATAAAAATAAAAATAAATTATTTAATTATTTATTTTAATACCATGCCAAGATTATAATATTCATTTGGCGCTAGCTTTACATACAAAAAATATGACACCATGTTGATACTTAAGAAAATATAAGAAATAACCATCTTAACTTGAGGAATGAGGAGTCTCTCATCCAATCACTAATTGAATTATAGATGAAATATCTCTAAAGTTGTAAGTGAACTAAACTTGCAAAATTATCTAAAAAAGAGAAGATATCCAAAATAATAGTTGGATCTGACTTGGTAAATTAAATTAACTTCATTATATAAAAAGACTTTGTAGGAATAAAAAAAACCCATCAAATAGTATAGAAATATGGTCGAAACATCCAGCTAAATCGTAAAGAGTGCGCGGCTACGCGCATGCAAATGGATGTCCACGTACTTTGTGGCTATATCACATCATAAATATATGTATATACAACATACAAGTACATACTTTCTTTTTTAAAAATGGGTTTTTATCTAAATTATGGAGTATATGATCTTAATAAAAATCACACAATGTTAAAACAAAACATGAATGGCGGCTTGTTGTCTGCAATATAAATATTACGAGTAATATTAAAAATAAAGGAGTGGTTATTAATTGAAATGAATACAAAGTAAAAATGCACTCTTTTGTCAAATAATTGGTGCAGGTGGATCGAATGATGCCACCAAGTGTTTAATTTATTCGATTAACACCTAAGAGTGTCATGTGATGTAATTATCCCACCATAATCACCCCCGCCAACGTAATCCATACTTTAAGCCTTTAAATTAATTAGCACCAATTATGAGAAGAATGAACCATCACAATTACTTCTAATATCTTTCATTATTCTACGCGATTATATACGGCTAATTTGTGAGTAGTACTTTTTGTTTCTTGTTACATGTAATATTTTGAATTTTATGTTTCCAAACTTCTAAATTTGACCATTAAAATTCTTTACAAAAAATTATAGCTCTGTAGTAATATATATCGAAACAAATTCATCATCTTATTACACAATAGCATTACTTTATATACTTGTATATAAATTGTAATGAAAGCTAATAAATAAATAGGATAAAAGTCAAAACAATAGTACATGTATTGTGACAATACAGAGGAATAATTACATATCGACCTTTTTTATTAGGCCGCCTAGCTAATTAGGTAGAGGTTTGTTTTAATCAGGGTATATTTAGTATTGATGATTATGTTGGGATTATAGCAATAATTTCATAATCATGTGGGCTATACCAATTAAGTTGCAAATCCACACTCTCTTGTCTCTTCATTTAATTGGCCATA